TAAGAAGTATTGCACCTTTCACGCAAAATCATCTTAGCAAACCTGAAGATCTGATGCTCCAAAATGGAACCCTTTTTAGGCAATCAGCACCCGGACCTCCTAACATGTCTGACTCATGTGTCTCTTGTACTGCGCCGGCCACGCGAAATGCATCTTTGCAAATCCTCTTCAAATATCCCATGCCTGCCAATGTTTTTGAAACTGCTACACAACTCAATTTTGCTCACAATTAGCAGGGTGCAGAATCCCTTGCGCCTGCCACACAAAAGGACGCTTCGACGTACAAAAGTGGTCCGAGCATGTAGTGTTTTGTACATTTTGACTTGGAAATGGCTTCGCGCCACAACTGCGTGGACTTTTTGAACCGATGCTGAGGCGTTTTGCGCATTTTGACTTCGAAATCTGCTTCGCGCCACAACGGCGTGCAATTTTTCATCTCTCCTCTGGCCAGCTGGCTCCGCACCCGCGCTTTTGCGAGCCTACTTTTCGACCCTCCGGAGCCATGAAACATTAGAAAAATAGTGTTTCGCGATTTTTCTACTTTTTCGCGCGCCTGCATCTTCTTTCTTCTGGCTCTTTCGCTTCTCTAATCTTCTTTCTTCTTCTCTTCTCTTCTCTGACTCTTCCCACCTCTGCTTTTTCATGTGTCCATATTGTCGGAAGTTTGACTTCTAAACTTCCATCATCACAATTAATATCTTTAGTGCTAGATAATTATTATAACTGTCATCATTCTTACTCATTCTTATGACATTCTTATCATTTATTGTCACCAAAGATATCAAATCAAATAAAGAGCCCATTGTCAAATTGGTGATGGTTTATGATAATTCTTCCATATATTGTCATTATGGTTATCCAATAGATGAATAATCATCGAACATTTTTTATAATTAATGATTAAATCATTAATCATTATTGTAAAACAACATTGAAATTAACCATTATTAGCCATGATTAGCCATTATTAACCCATTACAATCCCCATTAATCACCATTAAACACCATTGAAATAGCCATTGAAATCGTCACTTTGTGTTCCCACCTCCTCCGTCTCGGCGCGGCGTCCCCTTGGAGGTCGCGGTCCGTGCGTTTTCGACACGTTCGCGAGCCCAGTTCCTCGGCGATACGTGAAAGAAACCCGCAGGAACATTTTATACGCACGTAAATAATGTATATGTTATATACAATACATATATGTATGTATGTATCATATATATATATATATCGTATATATATATAGGTGATATACATTATAACATATCACATATGTTATAGGCATATCTATCTTTGTATCTCCTGGGTATCTGTCGGGACCAGTTGCGATCCAATCCAGATCGCGCCAATTTCTGGGGTCTGAGCTTGTCGATGGAGGGCCGTACGCCATAGTTACCATAGTCAGATCGCCCTGCCAGGGGTTTCTTGTGGCAGGTTTCTTAACTTGGGGAATGTCAAAGGCCATGGTTTTCCTACAGTTTTTGGATCAGTTGGGGTCCCCATTTTAAGCCTCGAGAAGCAGCTTTCCGGAAAGGTTGTTCCATCTCCAAAGTGGTGATGGAAGGGGAAACTCGATTTAGTCTCCAAACATAGGCGCCGCAAACTGAAAACGGCAACTCGCGAACAAAATCCTTGAATCTTATCTGGAATGAAGTTCACACATCAAGAACAATTGGTGTCATGACATGTCTTGGCATATCATGAGCGATTTCTGTGGCCTTTTCCATCTCCACCTTTGCGTCCTTTTCCTTTGCCCCAACCCATGGCTGTTGAGGTCACAGAGCAGTGGTGTTTTGTTCTGCTGTCTTCAGCAGGTACCGCTGGAAATTCTGCACATTTTGCTGTGTGCAAGTCAGATACTGGTGCTGAACGATGACGTCGGAACAAAGCAAACCAACTACTAGCCAAGATTCCATTGCCATGCACATGTTTGGAGGCACCAAACCGCTTGATCTCACATCAGTTGAACGGTGTTCAAGACCCTGTCCTTCCACTGGTTGGTTAAGAACGGGATTCCTAGTTCATGAATTATGATCCACGATAGAAAAAACACCCTTTAACAGCCAATCCACCATCATTTATCGACTATATCACCATGATTTTGATGATAAAATATTTCTAGATGATCAAGATATATCAACATGATGATTTACCGACTTTAAATGCTGATTTTCCCATGGCCACCTCGCTGCGCGACTGCACCATGGGGATGGTGGAAATCCCTGTTTTTATTTTTCTGGTCATGGGATAAACCGCGTTGGGCTCCGAGACCCTTAGGGTCCAAGGATGGCAAGATTGATCGCCTGGACATGGACCCAGAACAGCGACCCAGGCTATGTGCAGATTTCCGACTTGCCGATGTCATGTTTTCGAGAAGCAAAACGCCATGGGTAAAGATCTGAATTTCCTGGATGTAGGGTATTGTAATTTGTGGGTTTGTCTGGAACTGGGACATACCACCCAGTCATGGCTATTTCCATAGGACACATGGTGTAGGGGTACCCCATGTTCAAACAATCTCACTTCATGACATCGACGCTGTGGGGGGTCAGCTGGAAGTTTCATTAGCTTTGGGACTATCCCCTTCATCCAGTTCCTGCAACGCTCGGTCCACGTCCTGCACGGATTGGACACCGTTGCCCACTGAATTTTTGATGATTTACCAATGATTTATAATATAGTCGCTGCTTAGCCTGGCAATTTCACATAGCTATAGAAGCTATGGTCCATTTATGGTTGATTTTCTGCTATATAAATTGATGATTTTCCAGCTAGTGTTCAACTACCAGAGGGTTGGTGATTTCGTCAATGGGGTATCTGAAAGTACCATTCAATGGATTGGTTTCTTGGGGAAAATCTACACCGGAAAGCCCCGGCGATTTTTCCATGAAAAGATCACGGGGCTTTCCGACGCAAATTTCTCCCTGAAACTAATCCATTGAAACCATGAGTGGGGCATCCCATTTTCGGACGCCCTGGTTGTTGGATGATGATCCCCTGGTGAAATACATTGGCTATAGTCAATGTTTAGTCATTAACAAAAAGTCACCTGAATTGGACAAGTTTTGCAAATCAAAGACCCATCCAAATTTTTCGTAGGAAGGATTGCTGCATTCTCTCAATTCTCGTAGTATAGTTTTATCGTCTGTTTTATCTTCCAAGGACGTCCGAAAAAAAATCCATGCTGATCATTTCTGCTTCTAAACCTGCTTCGGGCAGGTTTATTTTCAACTTCCAACCTCCCAGGGCACCAAGAGGACCCAACAGCAAATCTGAGTGACTCTATTGTAGTGTGGAACACTCCAGAAAGTAAACCTGGTCCAACAAATCAACCTCAAACGATAGGTCCGATAGGTCATTGAGAATTGAGTCTGGTTTATGAAACTTCTGGTGCTTCTGGAGTTACCGTTAGGTAGACTAAATGTGGAAAATCCATAGTGTTTCCCCAGCAATATCAGCTACACATGTGGATTTTCCATATCTACAGTGGGAAGAGATCCTGCACCAGTTGGTAGATGGTAAGCGTCCCATCATAAGCTCATGATTTACGGTGTTTCATAGGAATCCCCATAGTTCCCAACTGGTGGATGGCTTATCCACAGTATGTTGCGTACTACCGCTATTTCGAGGATCACCCCACAAAGGTACCTGGTTAGTAACCTCATAGGCCATCTATCTATCAAATCGATCCTATCTCAGTATCTAAACTATCCATCCATTCATTCATCCATCCATCCATAATAACCCACCGATCAAGGACTTATGATCACCAGGGGCACGATGGTCCTCTGCCCCGGCCGACAGGCGCCGTTGAAGCTGAGGCGCTGCAGGTCGATGGCCCTACCGGAGCCAGCGTTGGAGTCCAACGGATCATAACGAACTGGAAAATCACCACGTTTTATAGGCAAATCAACTATTTCTATGGCCATGGCTTCAATAACTATATGACTTTACCAGAGGGTAATCATTGGTAATATAGCAATAATAATCCAAACATATTATGAACGTCATTGGGTTTACCACATCGATGGAATAGAACACATGCCATAATAGTTTTGGAGCCATATTTAATCAACATGAAGCTCAAATGATCCAACATCCAATCATAAACCGTCCAATTCACCAACCATGACTGGCGGTCACAAAAAAATCATCCCAGTCATAGGGCTATATCCTTCATGATTCTCTATAACATTGGTGATGGTTTAGGATAACACCCATTCTACTGCTCCATATTACTCATGGTTTGGGTTATTACCATATGGAGGGTTTCCTGCCATGGGATGGTTTAACGGTTTATTTCATGGCAAAGCCGAACAAGAAATGGATGAATGGATGATTTAGGGGTACATTGATGACTTTGGAAACCTGCATAAACCAAGCAGTATAATGGGATGGATACATCAAACATATTGGAAACGAAGGAAAGCCAATGCCATACACCTACCATGACTGGGGATTGCTTCCCATAAAAATGACATTGGAAACCTCACGGCTGGAGGTTTCCATGGGGGTACCCCAGTTCTCATCCATTTTCTGTTCAGATTTTCCATAAACCATCCAGCTATTAGAGATCTAATATTTATGGAACCCCCCATATATCATTGGCCATATCAGGAACCGATTCATTGGAGGTACCTACCATATATTTTTGGCCTATTTTTCAGGGCTATGTAAGGGGATATAGCCCCAAAATATGGCCAAACATATGGTACGTTTACGTACCTCCATTTTAGGATCCTGGAATTCCCATTGAATTTTGGGGGATTCAATCCCCTGTTTTTGGGTACCAAACCCAAAAACAGCTGTTGGGTGTAGAAATATCCCACTATCTGTATCTTCCCATTCATATCCCATCATGTCCCATTATCCCATCAAAATCCCAGTAATGCCAATACACTGATAAAAAAACTCTACCCTCTGGTGCTGCTACAACCACGTTCCGGCGGTTCCGCCTGTGCAGCTGCCTCGCTGGAGGACCGCATCAGAGCAATGGCACGTACGGCGTGGCGCACCGAGGCACCTGTGGCAGATGGTGAAGGGTGAGATGATGGATGATGGTTGATGAACTAAACAATAGTTGGCTAACTATAGTGATTTTTGAAACTGAAGGATGTTGATGATGGTGAATGGATGTTGGATGTTGGATGTTAACTGGCTTTAAAAAGTCTTTCATGATGTTTCTATACCTGGTTTTCCTGGTTTTCCTATCTAATGTGGTGACCATCTGAGGGATCATGACTTTTTGGCATACCATGGTGAACTGGGTCCATGACACCAGGGTATCACGTTTTTTTTTCCTATTCATATATATATATAGTTACAACCAATAGTGACTAATATCAAGTATGTTTTGTCTCATTTGAGCTGCAGTCACTTAAAATAACGGATTAATGGTGACTACTTGAGGGATCACCTGAGGCTAACGGATGTTTATAGGGGATAATAACTAGAGTTAACTTGGATAATAAGTATAGTTAAGTGTGTTTAATAATGTCTCTTTTGGTTTAACTATAGGATCATGGATCATCCCATTTAGCAAGTGGTGAGTCCGAGTGTATGAGGATTAAATACTCTACTTGTACACATTAGAAATGGATGATGGTAGGGTTTATGATGAATCACATTTATGAATACCCCACCGTATGGCAATGTTACTAGGAACACATATGATGACTATAGTGTTTTGGATTTTGGATACCTTATTTTCAGACAAAACCATGTGGTTCTGTACGGGTTATATATATATACATATATATATATATCTGTGTATAGAACATGTTTAAGATCGGATTTAAAAGCCTCTCATATTCTTGTCTTGTTGGGCTTTGGATTCAACATTGCTTTGTCACATCCTATCCCTATTTGGCGCGACCACCCAAATTGACCAGAGTCTGCATGCATATTACCTAGATTTACCCAGGCTTGTTCAGTCTTACTTCTTTAAAATGAATCAACGAGGACCGAATCTTCCAAAATCTTAGAACAGTAGACCTATAAACCTCCAGGATAGTGTTAGGCCGTGCTGTGCTTGGGCACACGCTTGATGATTGACATCAATCTTAACCAATTCTCATAGTTCCCGAACCAGCAATACATCCATTTTGGAGGGGGTTTCCCAACTGATCCATCAAAAAGTAGCCCTATCCCATCTCATTGTAATAGTTGGTTGATCGGTTTCTATGATTTACAATAATCACAAATCGTCCTAGAGCTACAACTTCCAATAAAGAACAGCATCCCAAGGGAATTTGAACGGCTCACCTATCATTCTGCCATTGTGGACCCGTTTTTCCGCGGCACCTGCCGTTTTCCATTTGGACGTGGTTCCCAGAAGGCTGCGCTCCTGAACTGAAGCGGAATACCAGGATTTGACAATAGATACCCTCTGGTTATTTTATGGTGATTTAATGGAATTTTATGGTGATTCAATGGGATATTAATGGGATATACCCTCTGGTTATGACTAACATAGCCATGGAAAATCCCAACCATAAATGGAGGTTTTAATAGGTAAACCATCTATAAATGGGCCATTTTCCATGGCTATATTGAATAACCAGAGGATAGGGATATTGGGGATATTTAGTGATATCAACCAATATCAACCAATCAATAACTGTTTTATTTTTAAATCATTGATGAAGTGTTTCATGCTTCGACAGACCGATGTGTGGTGATTCCGGGGGACTTCATGGGGAGGTCGTCCGAACAAGAACACATGCCATGGTGAGTCCCTAAAATTTGGGTACCACCCTCCGGCAATTTATCATAGCTCGGGAAAATGGTCCATGTATAGGTGACTTACTTAAAGTGATAATTTTCCATAGCAAACAGTAAACCATGCTAAAACAATATATACCGTGATCATCTTGAAAATTCTATTATTATAGAAATGCTGTTTTCGTATCATTTCATAACTTAACAAAAATATTTGTATCATAATATGAATAGATGATATGTAGAGATAATAATAACTAGTAACACCACTAATGTTCATGGTACCTCCACAACTTAACCATCTGTTTTTCCGTCCCGTTTGGGACAATTCAATTCATCCAGACATAGAACAAACATCTCATGACCATATCATGACCATGGTTGGTTGTAAATTGACAAAATTGACATTACTTATGCACAAAAATCTCCGAATGATTCAAAAATGATTTCTATGCCTCCCATCTAGCCAAGTGACGAATGGGTCAAATTACATGGGATTAATGTGTGATGATCATCCCATGCCATGGGAAACAGAACGGTAGATCAGCCGTCCTTATTGATGAATTGATGGCCATCCCCCAAGGGATTAATCCAACGATCATCATTGGTATCCCATGAAAAATCCATTATGATCATGAAAAATCCATGAACTGATGTCATTAGTCTCCAGTTTTGGGTAACATAACTGTTGGGAAAATCACTCAGGAAAATCACCATGAAAAAATCATGAAAAATGGAGGTTTCCTAAAATCGGGTTCCCATTTTAACCACTGGTTGAAAAAACTACGTCACAGTCGAATGACTTGGATGATTTGGGAATACCCCCATGACTTAGGCAATCTCCATATTTGCTGCTTTCAGTAACTATATAAATATCAAATGATATAGATATAGTATACATATATATATACATCTATGGATCTATAGATCTTTAGATATATAGATCTAGAATTAAAATCCATTAGCATCACAATTAAATCACCATGAAGTGGGGAACATCATATCTCAATTTCCACCTGCTATGGGCGTTGCACCTTCATGGCCAACTTTTTCTTCTCTTCTCGCAGGGTGGCAGCGGCATTCTTCAGCGCCACGCAGGCTTGCTCCACCTACGGGATAATAATTGGGTTGGTTAAGGATTTCATGGGAGTTAATGGGATAGTTATGGGATAGTTATGGGATAATATTGATGATATGGGATAATGATTGATTATAATTGATTATAATTGATTATTCATGGGATTTGAGATAATTGTAGGATTTAATGGTATAATTATGGGATGATACCCTCTGGTAAACTAACAGTTTGCTGTGGGAAAGCTCGCATTTTAATAGCAAATTCAACTATGGATGGGCCATGGCTTCAATAGCTAGGCTATGTTAAACTACTAGAGAGCAAACACTACCATTTTTTGTAGATCTTATTTGTACATGTACAGAAAGAATTATTACCATATTCATATCCACATCGAATTGTATCCATATGGGTCCATTGGTATTTTTCTGCATATTGACACCACGTACTTTCCTGATGTATCCCCATGAATGGTTGGTATATTCCATTTCATAAACGCTTGGCAATTCCCCAGGTTGGCATTTTTCTTGAGATCAATACCCCATGTAATTTGTTGCTGGTTAAATGCCAATAGATCGGATTCTAGCAAAGCTTAGCAGTGGTCGCACAACACCGTCGATGTCTTTTCCTCCGAAACCATGTCCACTGCATATTCCATTGTATGGTGCGTTAAATATTCCAGATATTCCCCAGTATATCCCCGTTATACCCAATACATTCCCATAACACTTCAGTAATTTAAACAACATAGCTATGGGAATTTGGTTTATTCGCAATTGGTACATTCAGTTCGGTGGTTTATAACCATTTAATTGTTTTATATATTCCATGATATATATTCAATTTCATAATGTTCATTGCATCCAACATCCATTGTATCCCCAATGAATGCTATCTATTCCATTGATGTGGTCAGCCCAATAATCGATTCCAGTACCCAAACATTGGAGGTTCATTTTGAATCATCCACTAGCATTGGAAAAACTATAATTATAGCTGATATGTTTATATATATATACATATGCACGGTACCCCATCAAAAAAATAGGAACGCATTTCACCGATGTTTTAGTAGGGTTTCGAATTTCTATCTCTTTTGGGCTTGCTACGTAATGTGATAAACCCAAAAACAATAAACCCACCCCAAAATCACCAGACATGGGTGTAAACCATCCCCAGTCATGGTAGGTTTATTATTGGTTGCCCAAATGATATATATATAAATATAAATATAGATAGATATATAGAAATATAGATAAAAAGATAAAGGTATATAGATAGATTGATATATAGACAATAGAGATATACATATATAGATATATAGAAGTATATATATAGATATATAGATATATAGAAATACATATATACAAATATATAGATATATAGATAAATAGATACATAGATATATCTATATATAGAAGTATAGATAGATCTATATAGATAAAAATATACATAGATATAAAGATATAAAGATATAAATATATAAAAATATATAGATATATAGATAAAATTTATATAAAGACATATAGATATAGATATATAGATATAAAAGGTAAGTCATCCCCAAATTCACCATACATGGGTATACACCAGCCCCAAATGGTAGGTTTATTATTGGTTGCCCACATGATAGATAGATAGATGGATAGATAGATAGATAGATAGGTAGATAGAGGTAGATAGAGATAGATAGATAGATAGATAGAGATAGATAGAGATAGATAGATAAATAGATAGATAGATAGAGATAGATAGAGGTAGATAGAGATAGATAGAGATAGAGAGAGAGAGAGATAGATAGATAGATAGATAGATAGACAGACAGAGAGATAGATAGATAGATAGATAGATAGATAGATAGATAGATAGATAGATAGATAGATAGATAGATAGATAGATAGATAGATAGATACAGTAGATAGATAGATAGATACAGTAGATAGATACAGTAGATAGATACAGTAGATAGATACAGTAGATAGATACAGTAGATAGATACAGTAGATAGATACAGTAGATAGATACAGTAGATAGATAGATAGATAGATAGATAGAATCCAATCTAATCTAATCTAATCTAACCTAATCTAATCTATCTATCTATATCTATCTATATCTATCTATATCTATTTATCTATCTGTCTATCTATCTATCTATCTTATCTTATCTAATCCAATCTAATCTAATCTGTCTATCTATCTACCTACATCTATCTATATCTATTTATCCATATGTCTATCTATCTATCTATCTAATCTAATCTAATCTAATCTAATCTAATCTAATCTAATTATCTATCTATCTAATCTAATCTAATCTAACCTAATCTAATCTATCTATCTATATCTATCTATGTCTATTTATCTATCTATTTATCTATCTATCTATCTGTCTATCTATCTATCTATCTAATCTAATCTAATCTAATCTAATCTAATCTATCTATCTATGTATATCCAACAAGTGGTTGGTTTTATACCACCAAGACAACGAGTCGCACGCCTCCTCAGCCAATTCTTTGGGCACTTTCTCACGCAGCTGTTGCAGCTGGGCCGCGCACTCTTCCACCACCTGCTCCGGGCCAGCGGAAGAACAGGACATAAATGGAGTCGTGTGAGCATGATAATATACTGGTAATATATGGTTAATATTAATGGTTGTTATATATATATGGTTAACGGAAGCTTTGAGATATTCTAAAAACATCGATTCAATAGTTATTCTTGAAAACAATGGGATATTTAAAAGGGATCTTAACAATTTAAAACCTGTTCGGATACCTTAAACTCCACTTTTCTTTGCCACAATGCCCACACCTTCCATTTTTGCACTTCACAAACAATCTGCCTTCGGATCCGTGGAAGTATCTTCCTTTTTGTCCTCTATGGCCAACTGCTGCTGCACCAAATTCGCATATTTCCCGCCACTCTTCTTCAGCAGCTCGTTATGTTTCCCCTGTTCGATGACCTTTCCAGCCTCAATTTGCGATTTGGAAAAGATCAAGTTCTCCAACCTATCTGATTCAATGTGTGCCATCCATGGCTCAAAAATGGTGCATTCCATGGCCCAATTTGTTGGACACACAACAGGCTGGTCAATTGTAGCCCTCCGCGCCTCCATGACGAGGATCAAATCAGCATTCATCTCAGAGAAAAGGGTAGCTGGGTAGACTTGACGGATCATAACCGATTTTATTCATTGACGCTAATTGCAAGTCATGGGATCCAATTATCTGCAATTTTCATCTATTTTCCACACGTCTCACCAGAGAACTGTGAGAATTGATCTTTTAAATCTGCTTTTTCAAGTCGTATCCGCTTTGGCTCGGCTTGGGACGATGGTGGACAGGCGGTGAGCGATGGCAATGACTGTTCTCCCCTTCATCAGCTTTTCCAAGGCCTTCTGAACCTTGCACATGTTCAAAGAGATGGCAACAACTGGGGAAAAAATGGCAAGTGTAATCATATTCCTCTAGTTGGTGGAGAATCCTTCTTTTTTGAAGCAACCAGTGAAGAACACCTAGGGTTCTGTTGAAAATACTGAAATGGGGATGAGTCAATACCTGATCATCGGATTTTGGGAATGTTTGCATCTATAACACTCACCTATGTTTATGTGAAAAAAATATCCATAGCCCAAATTTGGGTTTTCTTTTAGTCATCGTCAATGGATTGGTTTTACGGGAACATCTAAACCTAAACCATGGTTTTTCACCATCAAATATGTTTTTTTTCTGCATATTTTCCCTTCATCCAAGTCTGGTACATTCGAGATATGCCTCTAAGGATAGATATGCGGAGTATCCGACATGATCTGCTTCGATGCCGTGCAGCAAACTTTCAAGGCTTTGTCCGAAAATTTAGAGGACCATGGAAAATCCGTGGCAAACCCTGGGTTTTTTAAGTCGGAGAACACATATGGATTTCCTCATTTTTGGACACTATGGATTTTCTTGGGTCACCTTAGAGGGGGGTTCATTTGGACCAGCTTTAGTCCTTTGGGGCTTTCCACAATTGTTTTGTTGAAACCCTCCCAAAGCTGAGGATTTACCCAATGGTTCCCTATTCGGCCCTCCAATTTTTTGGCTTAGGTGCCCTCTCAAATGCTCCCATTGCTGAAAACGTTAGCAATTGGGATGACTACACCATAAATAAATCATTAGCCATCGAACATGGCCATGTTTAATAGATGAACCATGTTGACATTTGTAATTTTCCGTGGCTGTGAAATTACAAGAGGGTTTGTTGATTTTTGTTGGCTTTTGTTGGCCTCCATAATCTGGCCAGAATCATTCGTATTCTTACTGCGGTATAATCTGATTTTAGTGCTACAATGATTACAATTCCCAAGTATTTATTGGATGATTAATCCCATCAAATCCACCTGGTTTCTGCGTAAAACCCTGATATAGCTTTGCAATACCCACATTGTGTCCAGATGTCCACCTCTACACAGCTAAGAACTTTGCAATCCAAAGTCACAAGTTCGAGTTTTTTACCCCATTCAGAACGATCAGATTTCAACAAACACATGTTTTTTTCCTCAGTTTTTCCACCGATTTTTCCCCCAGATTTCCGACGGTTTCCCGGTTCCTCCCCGGTGATCGCCTTGCGTTCCGAGACGGTGTCCAGCGCCGAAGTGGCCTCGTCAAGCAGCAGGATCTTGGGGTCGCGCAGCAGGGCACGGGCGATGGAGAGCCGTTGCTTCTGACCTCCAAAAAAGCTTGGTTTATGAAGACATGTTCCAGAAACATATCATAGTACTATAGATTTTTTAGATGAGAGATCTTATTCCATTATGTTCCATGGTATATATATAATTATAGATACAAACCATTATTTATACTATGGGATGATTGATATTGCATACAGTAGGTTTACCACATAAACATCCATTAGTTATCCCATTTCACTATGGTTAGACACCCTTATTCATGCATTCCAATAGTAGCTTTATTGAGTTGGGTATTTCTTTGATGAAAAATGTGGTAAAGCCAATGCTATAAACATATACCATGATATATGTGATAACATATGTATGTATATGTATATATATATATACACGTGTATATGTATATGTATACGTATCTGTAAATGTATTTGTAAATGTATATTTTTTGTATGTGTATGTGCATATGCGCTATGCAAGTTTCCTAAATCATGCTACTCCCAAATCATCCAGGTGAGTACACAATGACTTTAACGGGACTTGAAACCCATGGTGACGACTGGGGATCATATTTTGAGACACCCCCATACACATTCCAACATATTTCATATTTTTGCATAGACCATTGATATTATGGGATGCTTGATATTGTGTTTATATATAAAATATAACCATTACAATATTCACAAAACCCAATGCCAAAAACCTACTATTTGATATGGTTGATATTGTGGGTGGTTTATTATTCCATGGTACATATATATATATATATATGGAGGTTTCCTAAAATGGCGTACCTGCAAATCATAGATTTCAAGAGGATTTTCCATTTTGAACCATCCATTCTTGGGTACCCCATTTTAGAAACACACCATATCCATACATATATATATATATATGTATATATATATACGTATATATATTATATATATATATATATCCACACACACACATATATGTATATATATATATATACACATACCCATCAACTATATCCCAAGTCCAGGTGACGGAACATGCTGGACACTCTGGCTTAATGGGGATGTACGATATTTGCCCTTGCCATCTTAGATTCCCAATGGGTAGCTTCCCATATTCCCGTTGAAATACCCAGCAATGGGCTGATGAATCCAGAAAACCATTGCCACTTCCTTTTGTAGCACCTGGCTTTGAGCTTGGTTGAGCAGGTAACTAAGTGAATCTTTAGCCATAAACGAAGAATCTAAGAGTTTCTATGCCCATTCGCAGCTATTCGCAGGTACATTTTCACATTTGCAGTCTTGATCTTTATTTCAAAACGGTTGTGTTCCATAGGTTGAAGCCATGGCATTTAGGTGTACCCCCTTTCACACAAAGCCACATGGATATTTCCACATGTTTCGTGGCGAACCAAAATCCACCACTTTTTGCAACGGGCCTCCACTGAGTTCGCTGGCGGCAGTCGCTACGCCCTGGGGTTTCTTCATCACATCTTCGTAGAGGTCGGCTTCGCGCATGACCTGCAAGACCTGAAAAAGTGGTGCCAGCGATCGGCGCTGGATGAAGCTCCTATAGGTTACTGATGTTCATATTTTTTGTTAGGATCATAGTAAGCAAACTAACCAAGAAATTCTCAGCATCATTAAACCATGGTTCATAAGCACCCAACTAACCAAGATTTTTTCAGCATCATTCAAATTTCATGGTCCTATATGGTTATGGTCTTTTTAAATGGCTGAGAACGGGTGAACAATCCCCAGACTAAATGAGGGGGTTCTTTGGCATGCAATGGTTGATTGCCAACATGTACCAATGATAATAGTTGTTGCTATAGGATACATTTGGAGGTTTCCTAAGTCATGGGGGTACCCCCAAATCATCCATGTTAATAATATTTTCCATTATAACCCATCCATTTGGGGTAATTATCCCAATTTATGGCAACCTCCATTTGGCCAATAACAATACAGTTGTTGAAGTCATTTTCGTGGGATTTTGGAAGACCAAGGTCATGGGAAATTCATGGAACCAACAATCACAGCTGTCACTTTCCGACATTTCCCGTGGGGCGCCATTGGATTTCATGGAAATTCGACTTTACCAAGGTAAAATTTTGGGTCCAACAATGCTGACCTTTTTGGCAAAGCCAGCGAATTCGGTGGCTTGGTGATCGATTTGGGGAGGACCTATGACGACGATGGGTTGACTTAGATGGATGTTTGATGATTTTTGCATATTTCTAACGCAGGATAAGATCAATCTGAAGTTGCGTAATGAACAGCTAGCCAACTGAGAGTATTCTGAGGTGATTTTACGACGTATTTCCATAGGATATTTGGATGTTTCATCCAACTCGCTGGAAAATCAGGACGGGCTGTCTATGTCATCAGGCATCAAGAACATTCATAGGGCCAATAAACCTATTCCTCCATCCAAATGGCCTGAAACCCACAAATCATATGTCAATGGATTGGTTTAAGGGAAATTCTACAGGAAACCATAGATTTTCCGATTAAAAATGGGGCTTTCCTGTAAATTATCCCTTAATCCAATCCATTGAATGTGTATCTGCATAATATGCAGGAACAAAAAACTTAATATATCATGCCAATATCATCCATCATGTATATAATTGTTAAATCCATTGTTAATCATGCAGTAGATGGACCAAAAAAAGCAAAGCCTACAGACATCTACCAAGTAAAACACCACACCCCAAATTTCAAGGTTGAACAGACTCTATATGGTTTCCTCTGCAGGGTTTGATTATCTCGTCCATCTGCCCTATGCCCCATTGTATACATCATATCCGTCATAACATCCATTGTCTCATGAAAAAATCAAGATATCATTGTTCATTCTGTATCGTTCTATATACATTCTGTTTTTATGCCACTTTTTGTGTCATCAGCTCCACCGTCCAGCGGATCCAGCGGATCCGGCGGCCTCTTCTTCGGTGGCCGAGGGCATCCCATAGCGGATGTTGTGAATGACCGAGCCGCTGAAGACGCATTGGTCCTGGGGCGAAAATCGGGGGCAACGGCGGTAGAAAACCAACCATTGGGTCGTTGGGTTAGGGGATGTCATTGGCAACTGGAGATAAGGGTTGTGTTTTTGCTGGGGTCTCTAGATAACAGCAACGAAGTGAAGCACCCTGTCGATTGAAGGGGGATGGATGAGGCAGGAAAAACAACGGAGATATTGGAGGACCAGTTGTGTGCAAGAGGTGTATGTGAAAGCGAGGTGCGTGAGAGTGCGGTATGTGGAAGAGTTGCGGGTGAAAGCGTTGCGTGGGAAAGAGTTGCGTGGGAAGGAGTTGTGTGTGGAAGCGTGGTGTGAGTGATAAAGTTGTGTGTGAAAGACTCCCGTGTCTAACAGATGTGTCAAAGTAATTTGTCAGGGTGGGGATCACTCAGAGTAAAATAAGTATTCTTATTTTTCACTAAGAATAATTTTGATGGGCTTGAACCTGTTGGAAAACACCCAAAATCGACATTATTGTAAACTTTTTTTGAACATTTTCAGTTTTTCAATATTAAATTGCAATATACACGGGGGTCTTTGGGGTAAATCCCTCTTTTGCCCACAAGGTCTCCCGCATTTTCGAACGATGAGCGCATTAAGGTCTCTGTTGTAAGTTTGGACGGACATATGCAGAGGTAATCCCGTCCTTCTAATATCAAGCATCTCCTAAATGGTCTCAAATATTTGTAAATTCCTTACTTATTAAACTATTGTTCCCGAGAGCGTCTGAGCGCAGGGTTCTTCCAATAGTGGGGGTCTGTAAAACATCTTCTCATCTTCACATCTTCCCATCTTCACATCTTCTCATCCTCACATCTTCTCCTCATCTTCTCATCTTCTCCTCATCTTCTCATCTTCTCCTCATCTTCTCATCTTCTCCTCATCTTCTCATCTTCTCCTCATCTTCTCATCTTCCCCTCATCTTCTCATCTTCTCCTCATCTTCTCATCTTCTCCTCATCTTCTCATCTTCTCACATCTTCTCACATCTTCTCACATCTTCTCACATCTTCTCACATCTTCTCACATCTTCTCACATCTTCTCACACCTCCATCTTCTCACATCTCACATCTTCTCACATCTTCTCACATCTTCTCACATCTTCTCATCTTCACATCTTCTCATCTCACATCTTCTCCTCTTGCCCTCTTGCCCTCTCCTTCTTTTCTATTTCTCTTTTGAAGGCGGGAGCAGGGTCAGTGCCAACGAGACGGCACGAAACGCAACCCTTTCGCACGAAATGAGGTTCGATCGCCAAAAACTGAGGTAAAAGTGCGAGTTCAAGTCGTCCGGTGCAACCCTTTCGCACGAAATGAGGTTCGATCGCCAAAAACTGACGTAAAATTGCGATTTCACTTGTCCGGCGCAACCCTTTCGCACGAAATGAGGTTCGATCGTCAAAAACTGCGGTAAAAGTGCGATTTGCAAGTCGTCCGGCGCAACCCTTTCGCACGAAATGAGGTTCGATCGCCAAAAACTGCGGTAAAAGTGCGAGTTCAAGTCGTCCCGCGCAACCCTTTTGCACGAAATGAGGTTCGATCGCCAAAAACTGAGGTAAAAGTGCGAGTTCAAGTCGTCCCGCGCAACCCTTTCGCACGAAATGAGGTTCGATCGCCAAAAACTGAGGTAAAATTGCGATTGCCGGGTTCCCGTTGCAACCGTTTCGCACGAAATGATGGTCGATCGCCAAAAACTGAGGTAAAATTGCAATTTTGTGTACAAAGCTTCTGTGTGTAAAAAGCATCTGTGTAAAAGCGTTTGTGTAAAAGCGTCTCTTTAAAAGCTTTTGTGTGCTCTGCGTCCAAGTGTCTGTGTGTCAAAGCGTCTGTGTGTAAAGGTGTCTGTGTTTAAAAGCGTCTGTGTGTAAAAGCGTTTGTGTAAAAAGCGTCTGTGTAAAAGCTTCTGTGTGCACAATCTTCTGTGTGTAAAAGCCTCTGTGTGTAAAAGCTTCTGTGTGTAAAACTGCCTGTGTGTAAAAGCGCCTGTGTGTAAAAGTGTCTGTGTGTAAAAGTGTCTGTGTGTAAACGCGTCTGTGTGTAAACGCGTCTGTGTGTAAAAGCGTCTGTGTGTAAAAGCTTCTGTGTGTAAAAGCGTCTGTGTGTAAAAGCTTTTGTGTGTAAAAGCGTCTGTGTAAAAGCTTCTGTGTGTGAAAGCGTATGTGTGTAAAACTATCTGTGTGTAATAGCACCTGTGTGTAAAAGCTTTTGTGTGTAAAAGGGCCTGTGTGTAAAAGCGTCTGTGTGTAAAAGCGTCTGTGTGTAAAAGCTTCTTCTGTGTGTAAAAGCCTCTGTGTGCAAAAGCTTCTTGTGTAAAAGCTTCTGTGTGTAAAAGCGCCTGTGTGTAAAAGTGTTTGTGTGTAGAAGTGCCTGTGTGTAAAAGCGTCTGTGTAAAAGCTTCTGTGTGTAAAAGCGTCTGTGTGTAAAACTAGCTGTGTGTAAAAGCACCTGTGTGTAAAAGTGTTTGTGTGTAAAAGTGCCTGTGTGTAAAAACGTCTGCGTGTAAAAGCTTCTGTGTGTAAAAGCTTCTGTGTGTAAAAGCTTTTGTGTGTAAAAGCGTCTGTGTGTAAAAGCTTCTGTGTGTAAAAGTGTTTGCGATGCAAACTATTGTCTTGCACTTCTGCTATTTTGTCTTGATACTCCTCTTCTCGACTGCCTATACCACATCTTTAATATATTGTTTGTAATATTGTGTCTCCACACTAACAAGAAGAGACCCTGCTCCTCTACGCTCTCGGGCCATCCGTCGTCTAGTTTTTGTTGCGTTTGATACTAGATATACAATTGGGAGAAGGGATTATCACCGGGTGGATCAATGGAGATGTTTTGGGGACGACCCCCAGAAGAGTCCTGCGACACCCAAGACACTGCACGGTAGAGAGCCTCGCTGGCAACGCAGCAATCTTTTTCCAATATCTTTTGATGTATCCATTTCATGATACCGGTTGGTTTATGGAGGTTTCCTAAGTCATGGGGGTACCCCCAAATCATCAATTTTAAATAGGATTTTCAAGTATAAACCATCCAGCTAGTGGGATCTCCCATTTATGGAACCCCCCTCATGGGTATTCCGGCGCAGATGGTTGTTATATAGCAAACAGCAATCCCTATTGAATGAGGCAACAGTGGCCTTCGCCCGGAAAAACCTATTCCTGCCACTGAGCTCGAAATTCTACTCCATCTTTGTGGCTTGAAATCCCAGGTTTGCTGCTGAAATATATTTAGTCTTATTTCGCAAGGATTGAAATCCACTGTTTTGTTGGCTCATATCACCCAAAACACCTAAATCCCAAAATACGTAAATAAAGAACACAATTCAGCCGTTGAGTTCGATGATTTTACCAGCTACACATGTAAACCATTTACTTAGGGGATTTTCCCTTTCCAAAACAAAACAGCACGACCAAACTCATGGGATTGGTTTTCCGCTTTTTTGATTTTCCTTTCCAATCAACATCATGGTGGTAAATGCCTTAAATTTCATGGGGAAAAGCCATAGTTTTCGAAGATTTTGCCTAGGAACCTGAGGATTCCACTTTGCGAGGTCCACTCCGTCCACTTCGATCGCCCCTGAAATTCTGGGCCAAGGATGGTCATTTTATGCCATGGAAACAGCAAAAAGGATCCCTTTTTGCTGCAAAAAATGGGATGAAACACGGAAAATCATGGGATTAACTATGGGGAATAGAATGGGATATAGGTTTCAAACAATATGATCTTTGGGTCTGAAAATGGGATGTGGCCCCAATGGCAATTTTAGGGACCCCAATCTTGGGAGGTCCAAATCATGGTTGACCGTCACGATTTTTGATGGTGCTTCAAACCGGTAGATCCAAGAAAAAACTATAGACATATGGAACTGCAAGTTTAAGTATTGTTGTCTGAAAAGATGTCCGTACACCGGTGAAAAAACCATCAATGTCACCCTATATCAAAACGGCCTAAAAATGGTGGGTCCATGCCCAAAATTCTGCATCCATGGCCATCAGTTTTTCTCCGTGAGATTCCCATCGAGCCCTGGCTATGGCGAAAATGATGTCCCATGGGACGTACTGGCTATCCATGAATTATATCCCATGTATCCCCATTACCATCTGGTAATCAAACATGGCTGTGAAAACCCCGAACTAGATTACTAAACAAGGGTTTAGTTCGCTGGGAAAATCATACTAAATATGGTCAAGTTTCCAGCACGCCATGTTTGATTACCGGATGGTATATCCACTTTCCATTACACAAATATGGCATTTCAAAGATTTTCATCCATCGTCCAACGATAATTCAAACCCAAGTCCAACTTAAATACCATTAAATCCCAAGTCAATTCCATACTGCTGGTGATACAGTTAATTATATAAGCCAATTACACTAGTATATCCGATCAACATGCCCATTAGATTCGCCAACATAGTGCTATTTCAATTTCATAGCTGGTTACATACATACATACATACATGCATACATACATACATACATACATACATACATACATACACACATACATACATACATACATTACATACATACATACATACATGCATGCATGCATGCATACATACATACATACATTACATACATTACATACATTACATACATTACATACATTACATACATTACATACATTACATACATTACATACATTACATTTACATAATTACATACATTACATACATTACATACATTACATACATTACATACATTACATACATTACATACATTACATACATTACATACATTACATACATTACATACATTACATACATTACATACATTACATACATTACATACATTACATACATTACATACATTACATACATTACATACATACATACATACATACATACATACATACATACATACATACATACATACATACATACATACATACATACATACATACATTACATGCATTACATACATTACATACATTACATACATTACATACATTGCAAACATTACATACTTGAATAGTAGCAACAGAGTTTATCAAGTTAGAAATTACAGGAACATCAAATTTAGCAACAGAGCAGTATGTAAATACAGCAATCATCAATGGAGGAGGAGGAACAGGCACGACTGACTTAACCAATTATTACAACAAAACTGAGACAGATACATTGTTAAATAATAAATATAGTAAATCAGAGACGGATACATTACTGGATGACAAACTGAATATCAACAACCCACAGGATATGTCCGGAACTTTGAGACTGGGTCATATTGACGGTCTATCAAAAATCATTTTGAATGGTGTAGCATCAAGCAAAGACTTTTATGTTAATGGAGATAGTGATAAGCGGTAATCTTTTAGTAGCATCGTTGGACAGTAGCGGTTATATCAAAGGTTCTAATATTCAGTCAAATACATTTAATGCACTTAATACCAATGATATACTTTTTCAAAGCAACAGCGATACTTATATACAATATGACGTTTCTGAAAGTAAAATCGTAGCAAGTAAAATCATCCAACCCGGGGGCAATCTTAAAACTCAAGAAATAGACACCATAGCACCATTGGATTTAATCATAAGAAGAAACAATGTCAGTATGATTGAACTTCAAGATAATCTGACGGTATTGAAAACTAAAACTAAAACTCAATGATTTCTTTGGCAAGCGAATTGTCTGCACCACCCTGGCGAAGCCATGCCGAGGCACACCAGCTCTTCATCCTGTTGACCTTTGCATGTTGCAGTGGCCAGGGCCAGTCATAAACTGAAATTTCGCTGTTCGAAGGCGAAAACAATGACATCAACTATGAACTACGAAAAAAAAATACAACTCAAAAAGCCAAGCAGAGTCCCACTTGCATTTCGGGTTGATGATTTGTTGATTGCAATTTATCCTTTGGGAAACACTCCTTGGATTTCTACGTCATGTTTCCATGCAAAACTCAAACAGTGGAGAAGTTCTAGCATTGTCACAGGTTATTCCAAATTTGTCCTCAAGGAGGGCTCTTCAAACGTCAAACTTGGCACCCAGACAACATGGCAGGCGAACATCTTGCAGGGACAAAGCAGCAGAGCCTGTGGACCACGGTGTAGCTTGAACATTGGAGAAGTTGGTGAAGTTCAAGCGCTACAGAATGGGTTGTCCAGCCCCCACAGAGGCCGCACACACACACACAACTTCTGGAAAGGGTGACAAGAAAGGCCCTTATTAGAGCAATTCTCATCACAGTCTGCACATATTTCCCGTGCCACACCAGGTTCGAAGCCTGTCTTGGCCAAGACCCACACATTGAACAGGGCCCCGTCATCCTGAGCCATCAAAAAGGTTCCTTCCACAGGACCCCAACTTCAGGTTCAAACTGAATTGACTAAGTGGGAGGGGGGGAAGGGTTTTAATTGCTAGTGAATCTTTGCATTCTTCCGTGACCTTCCGAGTTTGAACCCAGGATTTCCAGGGAGTATGGTGGGGGTGGGCTGGGGTTGTCCTGGGTACGATTTGGATTTGTTGTAGTTTTACTTGGGAAGCAGGTTTCCTAGCCCAGGATTAGAGCGAAACCCAATTGAAGCGATGTAGAATCTATTTGATTGATTCAGGAAAGGCACCACACATTGGCCCCGACTGTTTGAAGCCTGTGGACCAAAGAACAGCCAATCAGATTCAGCGCTGGAGCTTGCCAGCCCACTTGCTTCAGCTGATGTTCACAGGTTGTTTGCACTCAGCGTTCCTGAAAGGCAAAATTTGCTTGACGAAATCCAGTTTGCACCACAAGCCGCTCCAAATTCAAGAAGTTCAATGAGGGCCCACGTGTCGGATGGTAACCTGGCAGCCAAACACTCTAAAAGAAAGGAAACCAATGATATATGCAGAATAAGTCGTTGCATAAGTCCGACCATAACTTGCGCTGAAATCATCAAGTCCTGAATGTTGGTCATATCTTGTTGCTCCTATTTACTAGTTCTGCTCGCTTGAAGCTCAGCAGGCCACTCCGGGTAAATCATACGCTGTTTAATTCACTGGCCCAACACAAAAAACTCCACAGCGCAGCGCATGGCGCCTCCTGCTACCCTGCAAGAATTGGATGTTGGAAGGTGTGGCCCGTGTTCCTCACACTTTGGCGTGGGCAAAATACTGGGGGAGAAATAGTTAAAAGGCTGATTCTGGGCTTAAAATCAAAATAAATAATAAGAGCATCAACAGTTCAAAAATGTATTTACTTTACATTCCTTACCTCCACCATTTTTCAAGGAATAATCTTATCATTTATCGAATAATAACATCATTCCAGTTAAGCCAAAGACCCCTCTAATTTTTTCTTATGCTTCTCTGGCTTTTTATGTCTATGATAGTGTGCCTGGCTCATTGAACAATTACAAACAGAATAACTGACTATCTTTTTACCTCTTTCGCTCCTCTGCTTCAATATATGTGCTCTATATTCTTCATCTTCCTCATATCTTTTTCTCTGTGCTTCATTCATTTTATCTTTGTGTGTCTCATTGTATTTTCTCTTATAGCCTATACACTGAATACAGCATAAATAGCCTTGTTCAAAATGCTCCAGTGTTCTTTCTCTTTCACAACTGCTACATAGTTTCATTTCATCTTGTTCAGGCATATTTTCCTTAATAGGTAATGCTGATAATTCTTTGAATATTTTTCATAGAAAATACATTTTAAAAACCAAGAAATGACAAGACAAAACCAGAAGAACCGACTTGTAGGCTTATGGAATGTAATTAGATTATTTTGTAATGTCATAACAAAATTAGTTGTAGCATCCGGCACTGTAGGACTTCCAACATAAAACTTAATTTCTCCCGTGCTCTCATTCATTACATAATTCATTATTGTTGATGCGTTATTTCAGAATTCAGCCTCTTTAGCTGTCAATTTGACGTCATATGTTGGGAACTATGTTGGGAACTATGTTGGGAACCATGTTGGAAACCATGTTGGGAATTATGCCTTGGCAAAAATTCTGTGACTGCTCTCTTGCCTTTTCCTCTTCTAGAGGAGAGCAGGGGACCAAGAAATCAAACACTGCGGCGCTGCACCTTTTCATCCGTCTTTCGCCTGGAGATGCCTAGAGTGGCACAAAGATCCCAGACCAAGCTTTGTAGCCACCTTCACAAAAGATCTAGACATTGGAAAATCTACTTTTTCTTGCTCTTGACCTTCTTGCTCTTCTTGTCGTCCGCGGATTTCTCCTTGGACTGCTTCTTCTCCTTGCCCTTGTCCTTGCTCTTCTTTGCAACTTTCTTGTCTTTCTTTTCCTTGCTGGGGCGACCTTCGTCAGCTCCATCTGGTCCATCTTTGAGATGCTTCGTCACCATCTCCTTCAACTTTCCAGGCAACTTTGCAAAGTCAAATTTGTACATGTTCTGGCAATGCTTCTGCACCGTGTCGAGATGAACGCCATCCTCAGTGACAATGAAATAGCCGCTGACCATGACAATGGCCGCAATGGCCCCCGCTTCATGGCAAAGCTTTTGGCCTTCCGTGGTCAACACTGCCACCTCATCAACCAGCTTCTTGACCTCAGAGTTGCCAGAAGCATGCGACATGAAGGTCTCAAGGCTGGACAGCTCTGCTCTGAATGCTGTGAGGGACCCGTGCAGAACCTTGAAGTCAGAGTTTGACTGCGAGCTTTCATCGTTGGAGAAAGCCCAAGCCACACCATCCATTTCCCACCCTTCTGCAGCTTTCGCCACCTTACGATACTTCTCAATGTAGGTCATCATGGTGTTGAGAATGCTGTACTGGATGGTCTTGAGGGTCTCCCGCACGGACTTGGAGAAAGTAGCGGCAAAGCTTTCACACTGCGTTGCCAAGGTAGCGAGAAGAGGATCCCTGCCGATCTTGGACTGGAGCAAATTGGCACAAGTCTCGAAGAGGCCGAGCTTCGACAGCACGAATGCTAAATCTCCAGCGTTTTTCTTCACCGCATCCTCATCCTCCTTGAGGCTGCTAACTGCTTTGAAAGCTGATCCGGCGGCCATGTGCTCAGGCATGAGCAGTTTCTCAATTGGCCACGACTTGCCAGGGTCCTGCAAAATCTTCTTCACGCTTTTTGCTGACACAATCTTGCAAAAGGCGTCCATGTAGCCCACAATGGCCTCGACAATTGGCTTCTCCGCCTGGCTCAAGGAATCATGGCTCATCTCATCCTTGGCCGCGGCCAGAAGAGGCTTTGCAAAACCCAAATGCATGGAATGAACCTCCACGCTGTCCTCACAGTCACTCTCAGGAGCTTCAAAGGCTCCCATCGCATGCTGCCACTTCAGAAGAAATCGTGGAACGGCATCGTCCTTCAAGTTTGGGAGGGTGATCTTCTCCAGCACGGAACCTCAGAGTGGAAGCGAGAAAGACATGAAGGTCAGTGGTGCGTAAACGGCGATACTATGTTGAAACATAAAAGACGTCAGATCCGTTGAAAGCAAGCTTGAGAACATGCCAGGACGAATGATTTGAATTTGGATGGTTTTGTTGAAAAGGCAAATCGCACAGTACACCATACACTATTTCATCACCAACCACATGTTGCAAACAGACGTGGGAAATTTGAAACAGAAATTATGGTTGACTAAGATTATGAATACTTCTTTTGGCAGTCAGGAAGTCCATGCGAATCAGCGAAATTTACTACACCTTACAACCTCTAACTTTCTAGATACATTACTTGGCTTGGTGGTGAGGCCGTATGCGAAGTAAAATGACAGATTGGATTAAACAGGAACATGGGAAATGGAACCTGATGTGAATGAATCGTGTCGTTGGTTTGACAATTGCCATTGGTGGCCTGTTTTCAAACCTTGCCAACTTCTCATTTATTGCATGCTCAATATATGATACTGTCATTGGTATGGTGAAGAGCTAGGCTTTAATTTAACTCTTGAAGAAACAGTGGCAAATGACACATCACCAGGGACAGAGCCAAGAAACACAAGTGGAAGAACGTCGGCGTCAAATCTGGTGGGAGCTGAGGCTCTGGGAAAGGCCTCTAGCGAAGCCAGCGGAAAGATTTCATGCAGTAGGTGATTCACGTGACATGTCCAACAAACTCTGACACTCTCTGCTTCTGAAAATCCGAACTGCATTATTCATGGAACTGCGAAACTAGCACGCATATTCGCAATGATTGTGGTGTTCAGAAGTGAAGACATTGCTTTGGGTACTTGGGAATGTTGCGCGTGTCAGTGTTTCAGGTCAACCGACCAAACACCACAAAATCAGAGTGCAGTATACCACTAGACAGGTCCGGCTGCAGAAAAGGACCGCATTTGCACAAGGCAGCAGAACGAAGAACACGAGCATAGCAGCACGGGAAATCCAACGATGACAAAGCGCAACACTTCAGGAAATGTCACAATGTATTGCCGAAAACAGTTCCAATTTCAGCATCAAAATCAGAACGCCCCTTGTGCTAAATGGGGACCATCAGGTTCGAGCCCAGGGTAAAAAAATGTTGGGAATGATGTGGATTGTGAAAGCTGAGAGGGGCACCGTTCTGCCAGAGCTTCCAGATTCTTCTCTACCTGCGCCTTTTCCTTCGCAAAGCTCTCGATGTGGGCCACCTGCTCCTCGTAGTTGGGGCACAAAGTGTTTACCAACCACCCTTCCAACCGACCAAGCGCGGAATCAATGGCATCAGCACCGTCTTTGGCACCTTCTACCATCGAAGCGTGGAGTTTCTGGCTGAGCTGGTATGCCCCAGACAGTTCGGCGAGTTGGTTCTCGAAATCGTCAGACTGTGTCACATCAGCCACTGACATTGACACCATCGCATCTAGCTTGCTGATCATGGCCTTGCAGTCTTCCAATGTTGCTGGCGTCACAGAGACTTCGACGCGCACGGCCAAAGCTTTCTGCCAAAGGCACCTGGCAAGGCCACGCTGAGGTTAGGAAAATTAGGCGGCTACAACCGTGCAGCTGTCTGGAAAGGAAATTGTTTCTTTTCACTACCGCAAGATACACAAAATCTGTGCAAATCCTCTACCTTTCGGTCGCAGACTGTCTAATGTCCCCGGTAGACAGCCTGTAGCCTGTTTCACCTTTTTGTGGGTGATCAAGGCCGGACCGTTGACGGAACCCGGAGGAACACGCAGCATTGTCAACACAAATCTCAACCTCCTACAAATCTACACTGCAACGCGTTCTCGAAAAAATGTGTATGAGACCGTTTTTTCGTTAGAATGTACTTCACGATGAATGCTTTGTTTGATTGCTTTCTCAAATAATACGATCGAACCTGTCATGTGGTATCGGTATCAGTATCACTCTCAACGTATCCATATCACATGAGTCATTCTGTCAACATTTGGCATGTCGCTCGCAGTTGGTTATTCAATCTCAACATCGAGCTCACAGACTTGCGGATGCTGGCAGGTACCTGGCCCATGGCTTCTTTCAGCCGTCTTGACACTGGGCCACCCAATCCAGTGGATGCCTCCTGGCAGAAATCTTGAATCTGCACCATGACGTCCGCACGACAGTCTGCAGAGAAAAAGCGCTTCCCACAACCAGCTTCCACCATGGTGAGGCCGGCTGCCCAAGAATCACAACGAACGTTCAGATGGATGCATAGATCACATTCTGCGGAGCAGAGTTCTGGAGGTCTGTACGGCAAGGAGTAAACGGGGTTGCGACGTTCTTCCTGTGCAACCGGTACCTTCAAAGCCAGACCAAAGTCACACAAGCGGAAGCTTTGACGAAAAGGGTCCACAAGAATGTTCCCAGGCTTGATGTCACAATGTACAACATAATGGGAATGGACATGGCCGATGCCTGACACCAGTTGATGAAATAAAGCGATCTTGCCATCATCGTCGAATTTGTTCGAATTCCGAAGATAGCAGTGAAGATTTCCCGGCATGAGCGGGACCACCATCCAAGAAAGCCCGCCAACCAGAACGGAGGAATCAACGATTGGCAGCACTGAGGGGTGATCAAAAAGCCTAAGGATTTCAACCTCTTTGTGCAAGGATCTGGTCATTGTCTCAATTTTGGCTGCAAAAATGTCCCGCCTCTGAACGTGCTGGACCACATACACTGTTCCATAGGTTCCATGACCAAGGATCTGTTGCTGCTTTTGAGAGCTCAGCATCTCGAAATGCTTCCCCAAGTAGGTCAGATTTTTTGTCAAAGGCATCACAAGTTCTGATTGAGGCTTGCCTGCAGGGACATCAGGACCTTCTCGTGCGTTCTGATTCTGCTGGACATACTTTTGGCGCTCTTCTTCTCCAAGTGCTTTCCATGCCTTTGAAGCTTGTGCACAATTCTGCTTGGTCTCCTTGCAAAACAGTCCAAAAGGAGTGGTCGGACGACTGGCTGCTTGATCTTTTGCATCCAATTCCACCGCCATAGCAGATTTGTACCGCAAGCCGACTTCCTTGCTTTTTTTCTGTTGGTCTTTGAAAGTTCGCTGTGACGCCTCAATGTAAGGCTGTCGCCCTTTCGCAGAGAGTCTTTTCCATACCTGACTTGCTTCTTGGACACGCTGACGGGTCATTTTGCAATAAATTGCAAAAGGTCTTTGGGCCCTAGGAACCAGGCCCGATTGTGTGGCCTTGGCCAGCTTTGACCTTTTTTTCGTTCGCTCTTTCCGGGCTTTTGCACCAGTTCCAAGCATTCTATCAGCGCTGCTCCCAGAGGTGGGCGGCTGCTTTCCATACAAACGTCGTGGCGGCGCCATCAGAGCCAAGCGCAAGGAGGTGAGAGCATAACATAAACTTGTGAACATACTGAGGCATCAAATCAAAACCGTGGTGCGGTGTTGCTGCTGCTTTCTTTCTAAAGTCTTACAGGTCCTATGCCTATACCTGCCTAAAGCGGGTGACAGCTTGGCTCGTGTCTTGTTGTCTCACTTGTATGGCAGCATGTCCACTTGTTAAATACTACAAGTATCTACAAAGTGCAAAATTCTAGACATGAGATCATCCTTTCATCCTTTCCTACAAAACCAAACACCCCAACTTATGGTGTAACATAGCGTCTCTGACTCTCATTGGGAAGTTGCTAAATAGCAGATTTAAATTTTCCAGGGTTGAGAATTTAGTGTTCACTTCATATATCATCTGGCCATCATCTTTTGACTATAGCAAAAAATGGACCGAACACGTGAAAGTACATTTATGTCTAGTTGCGTTCGTCATGTTTGATGTATGCAGTAACCAACATAGGTGGCAATGATATAAACCACATCTGCCGACCATGTTGTCGGTCCTCTTGAACCCACAAACCATGAAAGTGTTCAGCAAGCTGCACAACGGCAATATTACATTCAACAACGCGACAGCTATAGTCGGTGTAGCAATGATGGCACTGATCTACAGCTCATGACTCATGGTGCACAATGACAGATGAAAGAGATTCGGCTCTGGTCTTTGATCATGTCGTGTCCATGCTGACTCGGCACAACCAATGATATGCAACACACATGTCCGGTAGGCACCTCCACTGCTGCTGCGATGAGACGCAGAGTGAAATCTTCGAAGAAAAGCCTTCATATGCAGCCACGGCCGCGGTGAACTTCAGGTCAATGGTCTTGCCAGCTTGCATGGATGCCATGTCTAGGATTGCAAAAACCTTCTGGAGATCCACCACGACAGTGTGACTCAGGCCCACTTGATTCTCATAAGCCTTGCCGATGTCTTGCACCACGAACTCGGCATCTGGACTTGGCAGCCTAGGCAATCGCAGGTAGGCAATGGCAAATACACATGCGAGGAAAGGCTTCCTGTTTCACAAGGTGACTATTCAGAAAAAAAAACTGCCACAGCAAATGATTCCACAGGATCTTTCACAAGCAGATATGGCGCTTAGGCCGAAGTAAGATCTTGCGTGAAATTGCTATCCCTGTCAACAACTACAGTGCCGAGAAGAAATCCGCCTAACAACAACACGTCCACCATGTGGCCACTTCTTCTCCTTGTCAAAATCGGTCGAACGCAGTCTGATGGGCAAATCCTTCTGTATGTCTTCCACAGAAGCGCCTGCTCGAATGCGGTCGCACCAGTCATTGAAAATTGCAACCTGCGCTTTCAAGAGCGTTTTCCACCTTTTGTCCACATCTGGAACAGGACATGTGGAGATAAACCACTGCAATCCAAAGCCGTCACACTTCTGCTCCTTTTCCGTGATCGTCATGAAGTCGAACAAGGACATGCCAGCCTAGCGATCATCTTTGTGTGCTTAATCTTTACGTGCCATGTTCCACTGTGTAAAACAAAATGTAAAAAGATATGAGGCGCAATCATCACATCATGTGATTGGGGCATCCAGACCATATCAAATACGACTTGACCAAGCAAGCGCTGGCTTTCAATGACATATTGATTCTGAAGCTAATTTTTGGCTAATGACATCTCTCAGCTTCGGAGCTTCCAGTCACTGATTTTTTCACTGAAAAAGCCCCGTTTGTGGATTTTGGTCACATTTCAGTGAAAAATTCAGTGACTGGAAGCTCCGAAGCTAGACACAATCAATTCTAACAAGATGTGAGCAACATGTTACGGCAACTTTAAACTTCAAGGGCAATGGCCGCTTTAGGACGTGTGATGCCTTGGGTGTGGCTGAAACAAAATACAACTTGGCTCACGCTGCAGGTCTCAAAGCTGTTGAAAGTGAAGGCTTGACTGGCATGAATGACGTGACATCCTACCACGGAGAAAGGACTTACTAACTTAATTACTGGCGTGTTTTTTTCGCAGCACATCGATAGACAAAGTTCGGATCCAACAACACCCAGTGAGTGATTCTTGACATGAAGCAATGCAAGAAAGCCGGGTGCATCCTGCATAGGAAAGGTCTGCTGAAATCATGTATACATGGCGTGCGGGACAAAAAAGCTTAAATGAGCGGCTGCCAGAAAACGCTGGATCTTTGTTATTTCAAAGGAGTCTTTAGCCAATGTGCAACAGCTATAGTATATTGCGCACTGTTTGGAAATGTCCGGCTCCCAGCTATCAACAGACTTTGCAATAAGTTCGTGTGTTCATTCTTATCTTCCACAATCATGTCCACACCATCCACAAAAAAAACCACGAGGACTAAAATAACACGCTCGTGGGCAGCATATACTGGCAACGCAGGATCTGGAGATAAATGTTGGAAATCAATCTGCGTCGCGTGATGACTCTGCTGATTCTTGTTTCACACGATGAATGGGCAGATATGGAGTCTGGGAGATTTAATCGGATAAGACACAGACTTTGCATACAGACACCCGAGGAGAAGGAAAATTGCAGAAACCAACGTTATATCAACCTCCATTGCATGCCAAGTGGCTCCGTGCAGCTTCTTGCCACAAAACGCAAGCACCTCAACCAAAGTGCCAGGGTCGGAAGCTAGGCGCAAGCCAGCCTCAAACTTGTCACTGGACAAAGGCTTCACAAGGTTGGCAAACACATTGCCCGGCTCATCCTGCGAAGACACACCTTTGGTGGTGCGGACCTCGCGAAAGAATTCTTTCAGGTTCAAGACAGCCTTGATCTCCTTGCCAATCGATGTCACCAACTTTTTGCCTTTAGCGATCAAGTCCAAGGGAAGCTTCTCGTTGGACAGCGCATTGTCCAGGGAAGCGAGAACGGATTGCTCACGCGAAAGTTTTCGGTCCACTTCGGTGGCTCGGATCAGTGACTTCCACAAAATCTCTGGCTTGAGCTCCTGCAAACTTGAAAGGTACTTCTCTGCCATATCCAAAACTCCTTGAAACTTTTCCAACTCTGCTTTGCCAACTTTGGCTGGATCCTCGCTTTTGGTGGGCGTGGTCTTCTTGGTCAAACGGGTGGAAGGTGGGTCAGAGAGACGCCTCGCCTTGGACTTTGGCCCCGCAGTCTTGCTCGGCTTCTTCTTCCCCTTTTGCTTGTCATCCTCCGACTCAGCAAGGCCAAAGCTTGACTTCGAGGAGTTCGAAGAAGAATCAGAATCCGAGCCAGAACTATTGTCACCCTGGCCTTCTTCCTTGGCAATCTGCTCAGCCCTTTCCATGTCTTCCTGCGCGCGGTTCACGGAAAGAGACCACATGGCATCACTTGCTGCTGGTCTTCTAAACCGTCAAAAACAGTCAAAAACAACCCGTAGTGTCAAGGAGTGGCCTGTTTCCAGGGAAAAATATTGCACAAAAAACAAAAGATCATACATATAACAGCATTGGTTTATGTTATGCGCAGGAGATGCTGCGGAGGAAGAAAGACCGATGATTTTCCTTCAGCGATTTCTGTCCAATGTCTAAAAAACCTCCGCAAGGCTCTTTGCCTGGCCAAACCCTTGAAAGCTCTATTGGAATTCGATGATGCCATGTGTCAATATCAATGCAAAACTGCTGGCTTGGTCCTTCGTGTTGAGCTTCACCTCAACGCCAGCCTTGGCTTTGGAGAATGCATCCTTCGATTCTTCTTTCGAATCGAACCTCTGCTCCTTCACCCGCTCGCTCGACATTCTGGTGCCGGAAAGCATCAGTGTGTGCTTCGGAACTGCAACAGCGAGGGCGCCATTCTTGGTTGGATCCTTCTGCACTTGGAGGCCGAGGACATTCTGAATGTAGCTCTTCCTTTCGCGCTCCGATCTCAAGACTTTCGAAACCTTCGCATGCTTCTCCAAATACTCGCTCAAAGATATGAGCTCTGAAACCTGACACTGGGGCTGCAACGTGTGAAGTTCACAAACTCGGGGTGTGGGCAGGGAATTCAAGTGCAGCCTTCATCTTGCTACACCAAACATGATCGACGAGACATGCATGTGAGGCTCAGACGCTTTGGAAGTCGACGTACTGGGATTCGCTCTTGCGGATGAGCTCTTCCATCGAGACCTTCTCATGTCTAGCCCTCTTCCCAGGCCGTTCCACATAGTGACGCACATGCTTTGCACGAAGTTCTGCAAACCTTGGTTTATAGGCACGGCAAAGCAGAATACGCTTGATCCCGTGCAGCACACTTCAGGATACTACATATGAGAGCAGCAAGAGTTTCCAGCAAAATTACTTTACTTCGAGTTATCCCCACCATGACATTATATGTTTTGTTACTGGCAAATCTTCTGACATTCTATCTGACATATCTTCTGGCATTCTATGTGGCATACCTTCTGGCATTCTATCTGGCATACCTGCTGGCATTCTATCTGGCATATCTTCTGGCATTCTGTCTGGCATATCTTTTGGCATTCTATCTGGCATATCTTCTGACATGTTATCTGGCATTCTATCTGGCATACCTTCTGGCATTCTATCTGGCATATCTTCTGGCATTCTGTCTGGCATATCTTTTGGCATGCTATCTGACATATCTTCTGGCATTTTATCTGGCATATCTTCTGGCATTCTATCTGGCATATCTTTTGGCATTCTACCTGGCATATCTTCTGGCATATGTTCTGACATTCTATCTGGCATATACATGGCATTTTATCTGGCATACCTTCTGGCATTCTATCTGGCATATCTTCTAACATTCTATCTGGCATATCTCATGGCAGGTCCCAGGTTGAGGTCCGGCAGGGAACACTGAGGTTGGATGGTCGTGGTTGAGGTCCGGCAGGGAACACTGGGCGTGGATGATCGTGGTTGAGGTCCGGCAGGGAACACTGGGCGTGGATGATCGTGGTTGAGGTCCGGCAGGGAACACTGGGCGTGGATGATCGTGGTTGAGGTCCGGCAGGGAACACTGGGCGTGGAGGATCGTGGTTGAGGTCCGGCAGGGAACACTGGGCGTGGATGATCGTGGTTGAGGTCCGGCAGGGAACACTGGGCGTGGATGACCGTGGTTGAGGTCCGGCAGCGAACACTGGGCGTGGATGATCGTGGTTGAGGTCCGGCAGGAGGAGACCGAGGAGGAGGAGAGGAGAGGAGAGGAGAGGATTGAGAGAAGAGGCAAATGACATTTAAAATCTAAAAAACCTCACCTGCAGGTGGGGAAAAAATCGACTCGTGATATGTCCAGGCAGCTTTTAAGGCCACCGTTTCGTGTTCCTCACGCTTCGTCTTCGAGCTCTTTTCGGATGAGGCCAAAAGATCCGCGCTGCACATAGAAGCACGGGCCTTTCCCTGCAGACTGATGCGGAAGGCTTAACTCGGGCAACTGGAATTGGATCCGAAGCAGCTGGAGCGTCCTGCCGCTGCTGAGCAGCCAGCCAGCATGAATATTCATGATGTATGTTACACTTTGGCGCTGACTCTGACAGTAATCTATCTTTGTACAAACTAGACATGGCTAGCTTCTGCAGCAGCTGATCTCTTTAAAGATCAGTCAAACATGTTCAATCTTGATTCTTTCCTTTTCTGCAACAAACCCGGCGCAAGATGATTCCATGGTATTTCCGAATTTCCAACGCAGTGGAGGGAGACCGTGTTCTCTAGGAGAGACAAAAGGTAAAAAGAATTTAGCTAGCGGTTGAGTACGTTTTTGACATCGTGCATCTTTATCAACTTTGCCGCATTTTTCCCCGGCAAGTCATTTTGAGGGGATCGCAAAGCATTTACACATGGTTTTGTGGCACTGTGCTAATCGTCGCATTATTTCAATAGTAACGATATGTACGCAAGTTACATGAATGTTTGTTCCCCTATCCATCCTGCCAAAACCCATGCCATGACGTAGCCAGAGCGTAGCACCACGTATGTACGCAAGTCGCATGAACGTTATTGTCATCCCACCCCACCCAGGTCCCAGGTCCCAAGCCATAACGTAGCCGCGGAGTAGCATCACGCATATACCTGAGTCACACGAAATCTATTGTCTCACCCCGCCTCATCCAAGACCCATGCCAGGACGTATGCCCGCATCGTAGCACCACGTATATACGCAAGCGACATGAACGTTCTTATCTCATACCACCTTGCCCAAGACCCAGGCCATGACGTAGCCGTAGCATAGCATGACGTATGTATGCAAGTTACATGAACGTTTTTGCCCCACCCCACCCCACCCAAGACCCAAGCTATCACGTAGCAGTAGCGTAGCATCACGTATGTTACGGAAGTCGCACGAACGTTTTCGAGCTACGCACCCCACCCCACCCCACCCAAGACCCAAGCCAAAACGAAGCCGTAGCGTAGCATCACGCATGTACGCAAGTGACATGAACGTCTCCGCTTCACCTCACCCCACCCAAGACCCAAGCCGGGATGTAGCCCTATCGTAGCACCACATATATAAGTCGCATGAAGGCTGTTGCCCCACCCCACCAAACCCCATATGAAAAGCGTAGCGCTACTGCACGCGTTGTTTTCCACCCGCTAGCTAAAACAAGCCACAGGCCATTGGAAAGCACCAACCTTTTAGATTCTTTAGGCGAATCTTTTCTGCTTCACATGGTAAACATTGACATTTGCGCCGCCTGACAGAACAACAATTTTGTGTATACAAATGTAAACAAAGCGTATAATGCGTACCTTTGCCCTCAAAGCCATGTGATCAAACAAAGCAAGGGACGTCACGTGGCCACACATGCACACCCATCAGGCACAACTCTGCTGAATCTATTACTGGGAAATGACCCGCTTTTGCAGACTAGTGTGATGTTGATTGTCATGCCACTCTGAAACCGGATCATACGATTCACTTGTTGTTCAATTGAAACGTCTTATGGCTTGACAGTGTCATGACAAAAAACCTTGAAAACAACAAGACAAGATTGCATGAAAGCTTGCGAATATCTATTCTCTCCTTGATTCGGCGCTGCAGAATGACGCATGTCTGTTTCACAAACTACTTTGACTCAAAACAACAAATCTCCATGAGACCTGACTCTGTTTTCATATCGTCACAAGAAATCTCATGATCACGTCTGTTTCTTTTCTTTTGAATTTTCCGATATAGTGAGCGAGTGTCACTGTGGAAAAGGATGTCACTGTCCTTGTCATTGTCTCCAAATTTCTGACCACAGTGCTCACAACACTCGTCGTCAGACTCAAGAGCGCTGCTCATAGCTGCACTTCCTAAGGTCCTAGGGCAACTCGTGTCAATCACAGGTCAAAGAAAAATATCCGCTTTGAGCAGGAGAATGTCACGACGGCTTTCAGCTAGAATCTTTTGATATCTATTGTCATCTTTCCTGATGGCACGTCACAGGCGGGTAGAAGTGGCACTTTCCCCATGAAAAGATTCTCTGCAAATTTGCTGCTTTCTCATGCGGGCACTGACAAACCTTGGAGCTGCACGTATGCTTTTTTTTCTCTAACTCACAATCCTTTTCTCCAGCGAGACATGTTCAAGCTGACGCAGCGGCCTTGTCACATGACCCATTTTGACACAGGAATTTGCATGTTTGAACGGCCCCTCAAGGTGGCTATATGATATATATATATCATATTTTCTTGGGCGAAATCCTGGCTAAAACCCTCCTTCAACATGTTTGCAATCGTCTTCTCGGTCCGCTTGCCCCTACTATTTATGCTGTTGGATGATTACCATGCATGCAGTCCAGTGGCGATAGCTAAGATGCGAAATGTTTTGGGTCATAAAGATCCAGTCAAAAAGTTCTCAACCAAGCGCACATTAGCTGCCTTTTGAAGAATGTAAGTTTGTTATTTATTAGTAATCCCTCTCAGCTTCGGAGCTTCCAGCCATTGATTTTTTCACTGAAAAGGCCCCGTTGGTGGATTTTGGTCACATTTCAGTGAAAAATTCAGTGACTGGAAGCTCCGAAGCTACAATGCACATATTCGGATCTCAGATCTAGTTACTGGCATGTCGAAGTCAGACTGGGCCAAGATACCAGTCACAAGTGCCAAACAACGGGACTTCCGCAGACTCCCGAATCTGCCGCCACTAGTTCTAAAGCTTTCGAAACTGGGAAAACTTACAACTTTCCATCGACAAACACCTGATCTTTGGCTGCAAATCCTTTCGCTGGCACTGTCCATGAGCCTGGGAATGTGGCGCGCTCAAAGATTTTCAGAAGACAGGTGAGATTCCTCGCCAGAGCTTTCCTGGACGTTGGTTCGAAGAATTATGTGTTCCAAACCGCGGGTTCAAAGTGCCGAATGCCCCAGGAAAAGCTTCTGAAACCACATTTGCGCATGACAGCAACGATAACACATGAACACGTTTTACTACAAATCGCATGAAACATGTCCACAAAGACTTGTGAACACCTTGCACGAATCAAGGACAAGAGCGATCCTGCTCGGAACTTGAAGAAGATATGCTTGGAGGCTGGAGACCGATCAAATCTGCACCGCTGGACGAACCACTAGACTCCTGAATGCTCAAACCATTACAACTGTGCGCATTCCTCTGATTTCCTTTTCTACCTGCACACAGAGCAGCATAAAGGTTTGCCAAGCACTGTCATCTGGAAAGTCCTTGTCGACAGTTTGACTGCTGGGCGATAAAGAGGCTTCACTCCCAGAAGTCGTCTCAGAACTCTCAATGCTGGAAACTGAATCAGCACGGACACAAGCAGTATCAAGGCGTGGAAGCATTGGCCTAAGATGTTGCGAGCATGCTAGAACGAATGCGCATGCACATATGCGCAAAGGATTTGGCTAGATTCAAATAGGGACAGCCTGCCATGTTGTCACCGCAGATAATGCAACCGAACCACTGGCCTGATCCATCCTTCAGAAGAATTCCCAGAACCAAGCCCAAGATGCAAGCACCGGCCACACTACTCGTGAAGGAATTGCCTGCCAAACGGTTGTACAACTTGTAGTTGGCTTCACTGGCTTCACTGAAGGTGAACTCTGCCGGGTCGAATCCTTGAATCGCCAGCAGCACCTGGCAAAGGTCACAATAGACCGGCAATAGAGTCCAAACACTCTGCGAGAGGTAGGAAGTCAATGTCCTAGGTCCTAGATACACGCAACAGTGGCTATGGAAGAGCAAGAGATGAGGATACACATCCTAGCAAGTGCAGTAGCAGGACAGGACCTTCTATGTAGATATATAAAACGGAGGTGACAGGATCTTCCTAGAAATCTTCTTATGGGCATCTGAGAAGAACTCTCATACAAGCACTAACGCAGAGGGTCGTCAACATCTTACTGCAAGGACGTCTTTTGAGGAGGATTTCAATAATCCGATCTCCAGAAAAGCTTCTCACAAGGACTTGTGCCAGATCATGCAAGGACACCAACTTGATTTCGCCAGGGCCTCTTCCAGAGCTCCGCACAAGGACCTCCACAAGATCATGCAAAAGCCTCTGACAGCATTTCTTTAGGATCTCCACAAGACCTTCACACAAGGACTTGTAAAAGACCTTGAGCAAGATCTTCATGCCACAGCATAAAGGAACCGCTGCTGCCGGAGCAGATCTTACAAGATTTTGGCACAAGAACTTCGGACGAGCCTCCTACAAGAGCTTTCAGACAAGCACCTCTAAGACATGGCATCTGCAAGCTTCTCATGCACCGGCCTTTTAGAGAGGATCTCACCAGGATTTTCACAAGACCTTCTGTTAAGAACTTTTCCAGGATCAAGCAAGGACCTCTTAGAGAGGAATTTCCCAGGATCCTCACACGACCACATTACGCGAGATTTTACGAGAAAGTGTCGCAGACCCAAAGGGTGACGACATGGCGGCGCAGACTTCGCGCGAGCCTGCGCAATCGAAAGGCACGTGCTCCAAGAGCCATTGTGTGTGAGAATTTAACGCAAAAAATTAACCCCACAAAATCGCAATGCACAGTTTGTGTGGGTCTCTACAGTTCTACAATAAATATGCCTGCTCTATAATAAAATATTTCGTTCGAGCAATTTTAATTAAACATGAGCATGGGGCAGCTGGCACAGCATTGCGCGACCCACAGGCGAAACAAGATGTTATCAGACGAAAATGTGTTTGTAGTAACACGATTGTGTGTGAGGCTGCTGTCACTGCAATGCAACGAATACGGTTGGGAGCTGGCATTGTGAAATTTTTGGTTTGCCTCATTACAAAAGGTAACGATATCTGCAAATATTACACAATATGTATATTTATATATATGTATATATATATATATGTATATATATATATATGTATATATATATGTATATATATATATTCATGCATACCATGGTATACAGATTTTTGATGGCGGGTTCAAAGCAGAGTTTCATGTGATTTGTAAAAACGAACGCAGTTTTGGCTAAGGTTCTCCTTTTCCTGCGATTATTGTGATGGTGACCTGGACATGCGGGGAAGATCTGAAGAGCCATAAAGATGTGATGGTCTGACAGAATCACACTGTCCTTTGATAACAAGTCGCATGGTTCGCGCCAGCATGTCTTCTGCATGCCATCTGACAAACGGAATCTAAGTCAGACTGGAATCAGAGAGTGTTGTCATTAAAATCAAGGGTCCCACTTCCGTCCCTCCCATCAACACCAAATCGGGAACCCTCGAACAAAAAACTGCCCACCAAAGACCTCTCACCACTTTTCCCAGATCATGACTTTCAAGACAGTAGTCACATTGTCTGCAAACGCCAATGCTCTTTAATGATATTATCCATGAATCAGCCATTCGATTTTTTCCCCCATTGAATTTGATGATGGAAAGAGCAGAGTATTGCCAAATATATTTGAATCCGCAATGAACTTACTCCTGAAAATAGTGAGACGCGGAGCTCGACTCCTCGCATGGTTTGTACTTTCTTGGTTTCCGTAGCTTCGGAGCTTCCAGTCACTGATTTTTTCACTGAAAAAGCCCCATTTGTGCATTTTGGTCACATTTCAGTGCAAAATTCAGTGACTCGAAGCTCCGAAGCTAACAGACACATGACCATCAAATTATCCTATTGACGGCTTTGGTAAAAATGAGTAGTATATATATATAAATACATATCTATTTATATATGTTTGTCATCAGTTGCGTACACACGCGCACACTGCCCTGCACATCCAAACTGTGCCTCGGCCGGCAAAAAGCATTTATACCCCAGGCTCCACAGCTTCATTGATGTAGTCACTGCACTGCCCAGGCCACGCTGGTAAACACCCATGCCTTGGGTGTAGCTGCCTCGGGCACGGCATCAGATGCGAAACGAACAGATGTGTCCAAGTCTTTTAGTTTACGTTGCGTCTATTGCCCAATGTGAAGCTGAAGTTCATAATGCTTTGCCTTTGGACAGCCGTCGCACTCCGGCTGGACAAACTATGGCCCCGCGCGTGCCACATCCACAAAGCACTCATCCAAGGCGTTCGGGTCAAAGTTCGGATGTTCCTAGCAGAGAGAACGTTCAATCTCAGCACAGGGCATTTCATGCACGCATTGATTCAATCACAAGGCCAAAATGCGAAAAGCATGTGGAGGTCAAGAAACGATGGCAGTACCAACCCGAAAAACAAACTTCGCATGTTGGAACCGTCTCTCGGCCAATATCACTAAAACTTGGCATGTCCATTCTCACATCAATGGCTGCTGGATTGTGAGCGTTTTCATTCTAAGAAGTGTGGTTTTTGGTACCGCTGACTTACGAAGCATTTTACTTGGAACAAGTTGGAACGGTGTCATTGTGCAACATGTGGATGCTATTGGCGGCACAGGGAAGAAAACATTTCATTTACTACTGGGTTTTTGCTTTTTTCCAAGACCTTCTGACTCTTTCTAGACAAGTTCACGTACAGCATCTAGCAGACCAAACCTCTGCACACCGTCTTCGCTGTGGATCCGACTATCAAACATCAGAACTTCATTGGAACATGTGGGGAATCAAAGCGACATGATTTCACAATCTTGAACAGATAACTTCCCGCGGCGCGGAACGCAGTACTCTACCGACCCACCTGTATTTATAGACACTACTCATCCTCAGGGTTTCGCCATGCAGATTGGAAAAAAAGATTTTGACCAGAAAAAGATTGAATGGATATGGCATGGAACGAAAGGCCGGATCGCACAAAGGATTTCTACAATGTTTTTGTTTGCGAGTGACATTGGATTCTGCTGCGTCTTTCTCTTGACCAGGAACAAGGAAGACTTTGGATGTTTTCTTTTTTAAACCAGCGATCCATGTGGAAAAGTCGCTCAAGCTTTCAAGTCCGTGGAAACGGACCGAACCTCATCTACATTGACATAGAATGCGGCAATCAGAGTCGGAAAAACTCAAAGCTATAAGTTTTAGTTTTAAGTTTCAAAAACATCAAGAAAAACAAAGCAGGAAGTGCCACACACACGCCATGCTATGACATATTGCTCTGGCAAAGATCCGGATGGATTAGAGATTGTCATGCTACTTGATGTCACTGGTAAACTTTTTCAAACGAGAGCTGCAGAGTATGCAACTCGTGTAAAGGCGAGAGACAGCACGCATCAATTGAAACATCTTGTTTTGAGTAGGGAACAATACACTAAATCATATCGTAGCGAACATTTTAAAGGACAACATATACCAAGCAAACTCTAGCAACATGTGAACGAATGTGAACAGAAAGAAATACGCGTGCATTCGATACAACATAGAGAAGCAAAAGCAAGAGGTTATCTCACGCAGGGCATGACAATTTCAAAACTAGACATCCGAGAAAAAAGATGTCAGTTTCAGATGTAAACAGTAAACAAGAAATGTGGAGTGCACCAAAGAAAAGGCGCTAAAATTCAAAAGTTTAACACGATGCCCATGGTTTCCATCGCAAACATCATGCAAAGAAAGAGTTGGGGAAAGAGAGCATAAATTTCTAACCATTTTGCATTGTCAGATGCATGCTCTTCCAGAACCATCTCACATGTCAAAGAAGATACAGCTTTAATATTTGTTCTGATGTGGCAAGCTAGAAAAAACAACGGAATTCATATATAAACATATTTACAAATCGATTATCTATCTATGTATCTATCTTTCTATCTCTCTATCTATATACCTTTCTGTCTTTCCCTCCATGTATCTATTTTTTACATCTATATCTATGTTTAAACATGTTAAGTAATTTAAGTAACTATCAAAAAGGACACTATCTTTTACGTGCTCAGGAACGGTTCTGAACGGTTCCTTGGTACGAGTTGCTACTGCCTAGGAACGGTTCTGAACGGTTCCGTGGTTAGATGTTTTTAGGAACTATTAGGAACTATTAGGAACGGTTCCGGAACGGTTCCTGGATAGCAGCTTGAAACCTAGGAACGGTTCAGAACGGTTCTTGTGCATCATCTCGATATAGTCTGTTTCTAGGTTGTTTCCATCTTGTTTTGCAAAGATGAACTACCTACAACTGGATTCATATCATCCTTGAAAGCATGCCATGCGTCCAAGATCAGAACAAATCATCAATCATCAGCTATGTGACGACAACAATTCCAAGGAAGGATTTTGTTTATTAGTTTATCATGAGCAAATCAAAAGCGACATTGTTCATCTAACTCTCATCGTGCAAATATACTTTCTCTCTCGATCAGAATCCTTTCTGCAGAACTGGCTTGGAACAGAACAAAAGTCAAGGCTTCTGGATTTGCTTGTATGCAAGAAAGTGTCTTTAATCTTTGCGAACTCCACATCAAGCTTCACCCTTTCCCTCACGTTCAGTTGCTCTCGTTGAGCAGTGCTCAATGAGCAAGTGTAGTCGCCCCAGCCCTTTGCAGACACTTGTAAGTTCTGAAGAAACTGCTTTTGTTTCGTTTTGCTGCTGTGGTCCTTCTGCTTCTTGCTTCGGTCCTTGTGGATTGGGTCAAAAGCGGAGAAGCACGTCCACGGAACCGTTTCCGGAACCGTTCCGGAACTTTTCCCAAAAGCGGAGAAGCACGTCCACGGAACCGTTCCGGAATCGTTCCCACCAATGAAAATAGAGGAAAAACCCAAGAAATCCATGTTGGGAACTATGTAGGGAACTATGTTGGAACCCATGTTGGAACCCATGTTGGAACCTATGCGAGAACAAAGGCCAAAACCAGACCAATGTACCCACCGTCCTTGGCAGGGGAAGGATACGAGCACGGTGCCACCGTTGCCATGGTGTACTCCCAACCTAGGCCCACAGGTCAGTAGCCAACGGAGATCAATTTGGGAAAGAGTCCTAGACGAAAAAAAGCATGGAAAAGAGCCATGAAGCAACGAACAAAAACATGGCCCCTTCATGATGTGAAACAAAGGTGTTTGAAACCAATAAAGAACGAATCACCTAACATACATCGTGCTCCTCTTGTGCTTTATTTCTCTTGCAACACTCAAGTGCAATCACATGCGCGTTATGAAGGAAGATGTCATACCGAAGATGTGGGCTCGTCATCACCTGGAAATACATTCCTCAGGACACCTGTTGGCATATATAGCGCGTCGAAACTCGGCAGCCTACAAAGTGGTTACTGTAGCAAATCGGATTTGTGATCTGTAGCTTCCATCAAATGAAAGGAGAAAGGGTAAAGGCCATGAACCATAGGTCCAGTTCCTAAGTATATGCTCTCCTTGTCATGACGGCCCACTGACTATGACCCACTTGTCATCTTGCAAGCAGCGCCGAGAAAGATTCTATTGCACATCTGTGTTTTTCAGCTCACTATCTTTCAGTCAAGCGACAGTCAGTGATGGAAGATCGGCGATGAATTGAGGGAAAAACCTCTTCGATCCACCGGCAGGCAAGATCCAGATCTGCTTCTTCGCACACATCAATGCGAGCACCCAAAATGTAACATCTCTGCCGATGGTTTGCTGATCCAAACTTTGAGCTCCTGTGACACTTCCAAACGAAACGAGGGCACAAAGGCAGGCTGCAACACGGCAATCTAAGTCTGGATTGTCAACGAACATACTAACAGGTTTTTTTCCAGTATCATTTTCATCCATGAGGCAACGAAAACTTAACAACCCCTGGCGTCGGCTTCCCATGAAACTTATGCATCCGAGCAACTTCAGGAACAGGACACGGATGTAATATGGCGTGACACCAGGTTCCCTCAGCGTGCTACAGACATTTATCTCTGCAATGAAGCTATCTGAGTCAGTCCCCCCTTTTCGGACAAAAAACAGTAACACTTGAAATAGCACGACGGAAATCTGATGCTGTGTCAAGTCGTGTGTTTGCCGTATAGTTTCATGCAACACGCGAGCAAGCTGCGGCTCTGCTAACCCATAGAGAACACCATCCAGCTTTCCATGAAGAAAGAAGTCGAGTGGCGCCTGTTGGCGAAACTAGAAATCTCACATGCTCACCAAATGACCCCAAAAACCGAGAGGCAAAAAGATATCACATAACGTCGATATGAAAACAATTTGCAATAGAGTATGCTGACCTATAAGCGGTCACATATTGTATGAGATGTCCAGAGCTTCAAGTTGCGCAGTCTGAAGAGTTTACAACTGGTGGAGTTATCATTCTGCAACAGAACATGCGAATCAAGAAAACTTGCCCCTGATAAACAGGAAACATCAGGCTTTGAAGGCTGAGTCTGAAGCTTTAACTTCTTAACGGCTCATCATCTGTATACCGTAGAAATTCTAGGGAAGCCCTGTCGTAGCTACGAGTGACGAACTGTGAAGAGGGTGCAGCGAATGAAAAGCAAAGCAGCTTAATTCTGGGAAGAAGTTTTGCATGGGGTGATATGACACCAAGAATCCAAGAGAAGACATGTTCTCGTCTAACTGTTTACCTCTGTTTATGTCTCCTTTGAGATGCAACCCGATATTGCAAAAATGCCGTATAAGTCTTTGATATATACATGCAAGGTGGTGCCCACGGTCTGTTGCATATTGATTTTTTGAATAGCCCCCCCGACGCACGGATATATATATATATATATGTGTATATATGTATGTATAAATACATATATATATATATTTATTTATGTATTTATTTATTTAAATATATATGCTATAGTCTGTGAGGATGTCACGTTAAGCAGGTAGTGATTTGCCATCAAACATGCCGATATCCATGGCCCTGGCACAAGAATGCAAGCATTGGAATTGAAGGCCGTGCGAACATAACTTCAAAAAGAATAAACAACTTGTTGGGGGTGACAGTATCTTTCAGAACACATTGCGGAAACACTTTTGCTCTGCAAGACTTGCAGCATGCTTTGAATGTCAGGCAGCTGAGCAAAGCCCTGGTTCTCTGATATCCATTTCTCTGCGAAAACAATTGATTGTTCAATGTCACCATTCTGCCCCTGCAAATACGATGGAAAGCATCCTGGGTGCACGTAGCTGTGGAACTTCTTCCTGCTGTAGGCATACCCAACTCGAACTGAGTCTCGTGCAATTTTGGTCTGACAGCCCTGGCATTGAGCAAGGCGGGCTGCTTTCTGCACAGAAATCTCCACCATTCCAACACTTTGATTGCAAAAGGTGCTTCCACCTTTTGCTGGCCTACTTGAGGCGGCTGCAAGACTGGATTGGACTTCTGGCTCTGGCTGTTCTGATGAGTGTAAAGCTGTGTGACTTCTCAACACTTCTCGCGTCATGAGTTCCTCACTTCGTTGTTGCGGGTTGACCAATGTTGGCTCCCCTTCGCTGTCGTCAAAATCAGAATCTGCAGAACTGTCAATGCTGGAACCTCCGTCCGAAACACTCACACCATCAGAGCTTTCGGAATTACCAAAAGAATCCATCATGTCTTGCAAAATATCTGGGACGTTCTCCGTAGTTTTTCGATTTCTCGATGAAACGGCCATGTCCTTGCCGTGGCTCAACTTTGGTTTCTTTCGAGAACGAGTCTTTGGCTCCAGCTTCAAACCAAAAGGAAGCGCGATTTTATTTTTGGGCTTCGGCGTCTTGTTCTTTTTGGCTTCAGTGTGTAACTCCAGCAAAGCACCTGTGTTCGGTAGCAGTTTGAGCACAAGCAACTCAGAACCCAGGGGGAACTCATACTTTGCGGATTTGATGCGCATTGTCTTGCAAGAGCAACCTTGCCCCAAAACATGTTCGAACAGCTGGCTCGTAGTGAACCAAGTCCTTGGGTAAGACCGGGGTGCATGGTCAGCAGCATACAGTTGTGGATTGATCTGCATTCTGCAGTCTTATCAACCAAGTCAAAACGATATACTTAGACTTTACAGAGAACTGATGAAATGCGAAATAATGTCTATGTGCATCTTGCCACTGCCTATGATTTATTACAAAGTTCAAAAGCTGTTTGATATACATTAGGAAGTCATGTGTTCTCGTCCGTACGATAAAACTTCACAGGGAACCCGAATACAGTTCAATTTATACCGTCAATTGTCAGAATATCAAGCGAACAAAAAGAACACAAACGTAGTTTCATATCCACTGGGCAAACTTATTGCCACTGCAAACACTGCCAAGTGGAAGTCTGAGCAGCACGCGTCTGGACTCTGGATTGAGTATCGTCAGCTCGTCAGGGCTGGCTCCCGGAAAGCATTCCAAAACCACTTGGATCATGGGCTTCTTGATAGATGGGCCCAGTACGAAATGTCGATGGGAGACTGCAGTCTCATCGATCGAGAACAAGGTACCCGGTGCCAAATCACCTGAGGTCAGCACGCCCTGCATGCAATCCAAATGTTTAATTCATGCGGTCTCACGGAATCACAACAGGATTAAAACTAAATTAACGCATCTTCATCTGCCATAAACAGCTGTATGATATGTGCTTTTCTTTCCAAATCGAATTTGAAATTGGAAGAACAGAATATTGCTACAGATTTTCTCATCGGCAATGGGCTTACTGCTACTTTTTCCAATAAACTCTTCACACGGTTTGTACTTTCTGAGTTTCCGTAGCTTCGGAGCTTCCAGTCACTGATTTTTTCACTGAAAAAGCCCCGTTTGTGGATTTTGGTCACATGTCAGTGCAAAATTCAGTGACTCGAAGCTCCGAAGCTAACAGATACATGACCATCAGATTATCGTGCTGAATTGGTTGAGGCAAAGCTCCGTTTGCCACAAGCCGGTGCACTGACACAACCAGTTGCTGCGCATCTTTGAGGTTGCAAGACTTGGAGCAAAATCCATGTTTCATATGACACGCCTCATGGTGCACTAGGTCCCTCTGGTCGTCTGACCACGTGACTGCCTGTGGTTTTCTCACTGCCTCATTCCACGTCGCTTCAATATCTTCGTTTCTGTCACTGAGGCGAACCAAATCAAGCCTGAGGCACGTCTCTGAATTTGCAACGCCTGCGTTCCATGTATTCCATGAATCATCCTCTTGAAATCTGCTGTACGTCGTCTGCAACCTCTGTTTTACAACTTTCTGTTGAGCGGTCCTGCCCAAAAGCTCTGCAGCATTGAAGCCAGCAGCCCCCAGAGGAACAGTGTTTGACTTGATTTCTTCTCGTGACGGAAGTGGTTGGAGCATAGCCTCCTCTCTCAAACCATTTTCGTGCGCCGCCTTTGCATGATAGGGATCTTGACGCTTCTCTGACAAACCTTTCCAAGCTGAAGAACATCTGGTGAGCTCTTCCTTCCATTGATCTGGAGTGACTTGGCGCTCTTGAAACCATTCTCGCTGAAAGACATTCCAGCCTGGGATTCGGAAAGAGCAGTCAACTTAAGGTTGTCAAACGACCACTGAAAAAGACTCAACAGGACGAAGACAAAGTTCAAGTCTCATAACTGAACAACAAATCGATGGAGCGAGACTCCCTCTATGTAAGCTATGGAAGCAATGCCCAGAAAAGATAGCAAGTCTTATATCTCGATACTTGGATGATTCACGAATACTGTCTTGGGAAGAGCCTTGCCTGCCGGTGACTGAAACCAAAGCATGGGAGAACGAAACACATTGGAAAAATATCCCATCAAGAATCAAAACTTCCTTTTCAAAGACTCGTTGTGAACTATGAGCCCAACACTATTTGAAAGGCCGTGCGAGGCAATGGCTGAGAAACCTGACAGTTTCCGAGGTGTTCTCACAGCCTTGGGCTTCTGACAAATCCGGTCCATGTTCTCCATCTTCCAAAACGAAGTAGTACGCGGATCCTTCGTCTTGTCCCTGTCGGTGTATTGATTGTTTCCTTTTTGCCCAAACCGATGTAAACGATGCCTTGCACTCTTGTCGCCAAGTGTTTCCCACAGACAATTCCAGAAACGGTTGTATGAAGATTGAATCGTGCTAAGCATGCAAATTTCTTGGGCCGCGGGATCGGATGGCTTGCAACCGCGAAACCTATGTACTTTGCCTTGCTGGAAGCCATGCAGGCATTCTACCAAATCTGAGCTCACTGGTGTGAAAATTGTCACATCTTCCAAAAAGTTTCGCAGTGTGGAAATTGCCGGCTTCAACTCCGCTAGATTCCCATCTGTCGGAATGGCTCGCAAAAGGACCCTGCTGAACTCGACATCTGTACACATTGGGCAGTCCTCCATACTCCTTTGCATGTCCCTGTATGCCCTTAGAAAATCTTCGTCTGTTGTGGTATCCAACAAGGCAAACAATGTGTAGGGGCAACACTGCTTGTCAAACACAAACCTCCGCCAGACCTCCCCCATCACAGAGATGCAAATGGTGAAGCATTCGTTGGCCATGTTCGGCAAGCCAAGTCTTGGGAAATTCCGCAATTTCTCAACGTAGAGATCCACCATCTCAAATCCAAAGTTGCCACTGATAAAGTGCTTGAAGAACACTGAAGACCTGCCATTGTAATTACGCAAAACTGACCGAATCAGTTTCTTCAATGTCTAGCTCTATATGTCCGTCCTCTGAGAAAGACCCTAGCTGGAACATATCTCCAGAACCATGGGCTGCAAATGTTAACAGACAAGAAAGGAATGTTCGAAATCACATCTTGTAGCTTGTATGAAACCATTTTCAGTCTTGTGGTCATATCAATATGAATTGCAATCTGCTCTGCAGACTATGTTGCCTTCGCCTTCGCTATGAACCACTTTCCCTTGAATATTCGAAAACCATATCTACAAGTAGTTTAAAGTTTAAAGTGTTATATTGCTCTGCAGTCAGTCCTTTGGTGGGTGGGCGGGTATACAAAGGAAAGTGGCTCATACCCAAAGCAAAAACACCTAAACGACTGTGATGCTCCACGCTGCAAAACAATTCAGGATATCATGAGACAGCACATGGAACGTACCCAGTTCGGAAACGTTACTACTGCTAGGCTCTTGGGAAATACGTGGTCAATAAACAGAAGAAAGTCTTGACATCACGAAAGAAGTAAGAACGGTGCTACTGAAATATTGCCTTCCAGATCCTTCTAAGCTTCTGCAACATTGCAGCTGCCGGGCCTCGATCTCAAGGATTCTTGCGCATCGAGCTTCAAATCGGGCATGTGGTGCAATCTGGCTAAAAGTCCACTTCTGGTCAGGAGGGAGTCCATGCCGCTCAATAAGGGGTACATGAGATATTCAAGCAACATCGTTCGTGGTGCAAACTCAGGCTGCCTGAATGCAGAAAATGTCAACTGCTTCCGTTTCTGGTTTACTTCTGCAGGGGACAGGTCACCAACCTTGGACAGGTTCAAAAGCCAGCTTTCCCAATCATCATTGGCCACGTCAGCGTTCACGACCTCATCTTGAAGGAGATCTTCCAGCTCTGCTTTGAAGTCTTCACTGTGGCCCAGATTGCCAGATTCAGACAAAGCTTGCAAAGTCCGAGGCAAAACGTTGTGCAAAAGATTCCCTTCCTGGGCCATTCGGCAAGGCAACACTTCCAGTTGGGCTTGCAGAAGGTCAAGGCGTCTTATGAAAATGCTCTTGCAATAAAGAAATACTGTGAGTGCATGGTTGATCCGGAAAGGTTTTTTCTGAGCTACTATTTCATGATTTACTCAACGTCCCAAAGATATTAAATAAGCTTTTGCACATAGCCACCTGGCCAAATATACCCGCTAATGTGGCCACACTCTGATTATTCCGCTGGTTCTCATCTCTGGAACGCACACCCTGACATTCCACTACTCCTTTTCTGACTTTTACTGATGTCCATACGCTGCCAAACAGCAAACTCCCAACAAAAGGAAACAAGAAGGCTTCTGCAGAATGCCAAGAAACTTTGCAGTATTGGAGAGCCGGATGAGCTTTGAGCCAGCGATATGTCAATGGGACAGCAAATCCGCGTGAGAACAGCTCGCTATATAAACGGCAAGTTTGCAGCAACGCTTTCTTCTTGCTTCCTCCACAAGGACATTGCACACCTGTGCACCAATGAACAATACGATTTGAACTTGGGTCCCCATTGTCAAAGCCCATGAGCTGGCGATGCAGCCTCAACCGTGCCACAGGGTAGTGCCGATCCTCTGTCAACATGCATGCACTGCGCGCTCTTTCCCACAAGACATGCTCCCTTGGGAGCTCAGAAACCGACATGAATTCAAAGCTGTTGTAAACGATTTGCAGCATTGAGGAACGAAATTGACTGATAAAACGGTGCGACTCAAAGAGGTGCGCTAGCCGCACGATCGAAGACCAGTGGCCAGCAAAGAAAAATAACATCATCTTCCGGCAAAGCGCAATTTGGTGTATGCAGCATCGGCAACTGAAAAGCGGGCATAATGGGGCCCCAAGGTCTCCAGAATCAGAAGTGGTGTGTTTGGAATGTACTGCAATACGTAATCCTTTCAGTATTGACATGTTGGTTTTGAGGCTATCCCAGCAAATGACACAAGCTTGAAGGGGAACTGCATCTACAACATCCTGCTTCACGCCCAGACGAGCAAATCGTTCACCAACTCTGCCCAAATAGACAAAAAGCCATGAAAGAAGTTCACAAGCCAGACCCTTCGTATCAGCCCGCTCAAGTGGAACCAAGGGAGTGTGAAAATGAAAGCTCCTCCATCGTCTTTCACCAGAGTCATTCGTAAAACTGCACACCAGTGTCTGCAGCAAGTTCATGACGGAGACAACTCGGCTTGTTCTATGCTTGCCTGAAGCAGCATATGGCATGGCAAGGCGCATGTTGGTATCATCAGTGATAACGACGCTGATGGTATGCTCAATTTTTTTCTCCTTTGTGAAGAAGTGGCCAATGCCTCCCACAAAAGCAAGGAGCCATGAATACAACAAACGCAACCGAGATTTTTTCTCTCTGAAAGATACAGCCGGGCTTGTCAGGTCATTTGACGTTAGGTACCTCCTGTACTCTTCTGCAGGGTGTTGAGGCAACTCACTGCTAGCCTCTTGCTTCCTTTTCAGGCGGTTAAATTGAACAGCTGCACGAGCTTTCTCAGTTCTTTGCTTGTTTCGCAGGTACCGCAGTTCCTCAGCATCACCGGACATGCTTCGACTGATACGGGACCTGGACCTGTCTCCCGACATGGTGGAAGACTCATCAGAGTCCGAATCAGCTGACTGTTCTGATGAAGAGCTAGGTTCATCAGATGAGGTGGCCGCCTTTCTTGGCCGAAGAAGTTTCAAGAAAGACATCCCAGGTTTCAAACTCAGCACCACAAACCATTGAACAGGGAAGCGGCATTGCTAACTAACGTGCTGCATTTCAATATCAGTGTCCTGCCCTGCATGCTGGACACATGTCCCTCAAGGATTTATTGAAATTACTTTGAGATTGGTTTGATCGTTGAGAGCGACATATGCAAGCAGAAAAAGGAAGATTAGGCATGGTAGTATTCAAATCATGACCTTGCTTGCTGTGACCTAGTACATGGTGCTGCGGGAGCCTAGCAATTTTGAGGCTATAAAAGAAGGAGAAACCATTGAGACCTCAAAGGCTCGCACACAAGCAAGGCCAAAATCCCATGCATGACAGGCCACAGGCCGTGCTTATGGAACATACAGGCACAACTCGTAGTGTTGGCTGGCAGCGGCTTCCACACACCATATCCTAAATCAACATCATAAGGTCTCTGTAGAAGGCTACCTGCGAATGCCTCGGAAAACATTGCACGACCAGAATGATCCACTTTTCCTTGTCAAAATCATCACCAATCAATCCGCAAAGCTGAGATATGAAGAATCTTGCGCCCGAAGTAGACATGAAATGCAAGTTCACGTGATATATATCTGTACAGACTCTTTTTAAGACACGCTTGACCATCTCTAGGACAACGTCATGCGTATATATTCACAATTTCTTTGAACTGTTCAGTTCTTGAAAAACCTTTCGCCTTTCTGTATCAAATTGTCGTAGAAGTTTTTTCTTGTGATTAAATGACCCAATCGTTTCGTCATACTGCGGCTATTCTTTCTCGTCAAGTACTTGTAGCAAACCTCCATCTAATCCAAATGCTGGCAGCACGCCGATACATCATGTGATCACCTATTGATAAAATTCTTGGCTTATCATCAGTCATGACCAAGTCCAATGGTTTGTGCTGGCCTTTGTCAAACGGCAGTTCCAAATAGAACGTAACAGACCACTGACAATCAAAACAAGTGATCGAGCCATGCTGGCCTCGTAAACATGCTCGTCGATGGTGATTGGCGTCTTGAATGCTTGGGCAATGGTAGCAACCTGACACCACATAGTTTGTTGGAACATTGTGGGCCTTGAGTGTCTACACCGAAAGCAATCTCACTCTCAACTACCAAATTTTGATGTAAAAATGTAGCTCCTTCGCGCAACTCCTAAGACAAATGCAATCCATACGCCGCTGTGAAAAACCCGTTTCAAAAAATGAATTACTTTACTTCGAGTTATCCCCACCATGACATTTATACGTTTTGTTACTGGCAAATCTTCTGGCATTCTATCTGACATATCTTCTGGCATTTAATCTGGCAAATCTTCTAACATACTATCTGGCACATCTTCTGGCACTCTATCTGGCATATCTTCTGCAATATGTTCTGGCATATCTTCTGGCACTCTATCTGGCACTCTATGTGGCATATCTTCTGGCATATCTTCTGACATTCTATCTGGCATTCTATCTGGCAAACATTCTGGCACTTTATCTGGCATACTTTCTGGCATTCTATCTGACATTCTATCTGGCACACCTTCTGGCATTTTATCTGGCATGTCGTGGTTGAGGTCCGGCAGGGAACACTGGGCGTGGATGATCGTGGTTGAGGTCCGGAAGGGAACACTGGGCGTGGATGGTCGTGGTTGAGGTCCGGCAGGGAACACTGGGCGTGGATGATCGTGGTTGAGGTCCGGCAGGGAACACTTGGCGTGGATAGTCGTGGTTGAGGTCCGGCAGCTGATCGTGGTTGAGGTCCGGCAGGGAACACTGGGCGTGGATGATCGTGGTTGAGGTCCGGCAGGGAACACTGGGCGTGGATGATCGTGGTTGAGGTCCGGCAGGGAACACTGGGCGTGGATGATCGTGGTTGAGGTCCGGCAGGGAACACTGGGCGTGGATGATCGTGGCTGAGGTCCGGCAGCGAACACTGGGCGTGGATGATCGTGGTTGAGGTCCGGCAGCGAACACTGGGCGTGGATGATCGTGGTTGAGGTCCGGCAGGAGGAGACGAGGAGGAGGAGAGGAGAGGAGAGGAGAGGAGACGAGGCAACTGACATAAAATCTAACAACCCTCACCTGGCAGGTGGGGAAAAAATGTGCAATGTTTTATGTTTTAGCGCCTCTTCCAGCACGAAGGTTTTCGGGTTTCTCCTCCGAAGCTTGGCAAGGCAAGTCAGGATAACTTCGCTGCCAGTCCTGCAATATCAAAAGTAGGCTGCCTCCCTCTCAGGCTTCGCTGCAAGACGTATGAATAATTGGATGTGCAGCTGCAACTGTTCAAACATTGTAGTTGTAGTTCAGATGCTTGAACTAGATACGCATTCAACCATCACAAACCGTCCAGACAGTGTCGAAATCAGAAATGGCACTAAAAGCCGCAACAGCACTTGCCCTTTCCTCAGCTTGCCGTCAAGCATCTGTGCAAACGGGTTGTACTGCAGCAGCTTCGTGCGAATGTTCAATGGTGAGAACTTCTGGCATGGAATTCCAATCGCAGCTAGATCCTGAGCAGCAAACGACATCGGACACCTACGAAAGCAACATCAGTCAGCCATGTCACATGAGGTAATTCAGGCTAAAGTGAGAGGTGTGACTCACTCTCTGTGCCAGCATGTTCTCATGCAAATATGTGGAAATTTCACCATGAAACAGTTCACGCCCGAAGTCCGGAAGTACCGGACATAAGACCCAACACTGAGGGAAGAAGAAATGGGACAAGTTTCACAATGAATCCAGCATGCGCACGCTTGAAGCAAGACACATTCTGTATAAGTCTACTAAACAATCAGGCATATGCCTGCCAAAAACCAGGCATGATACAACAAATAAAGCGATGAAGCCAATTTGACTCAGCGCTTCAAACGAGATGTATACACCAGATCCCAATGCTCACATCCATGATAATGCACACCCAGTGCCTGCAAAACACAATGCATATACAAATCTGCAGAGAATGCCGAACACAATGAACATGTGGGTCCCGCGTCTCAGCAGTCACATTCCCAGAGGTCTCCCGGTGACCGTTTTTCTCAGCTTGAAGAAACGGTTCAAATATCCCTTGTTGGTAAACCAATGCCCCTAAAGCCCTTTACCGCTTATACTTATACTTGCAATTTAAAAACTATTACTACTACTATTTATTATAGATAATAAAGGGCTACTAGTGGTTGCATATGGTTACAAGATGTTGTGAGTAGCCGTTATAATGTTTGTAAATCCGGGCTGGTTATACCGTGTTTTCAATGGTTATATGTGGGGCTATCATGTCATAAATGGGGTTTAGTTATAATGTCATACATGTGGTTACTAAGAGGGTTATAACTAATGGTAAAGGGCCATACCACATACCAAAAAAATGAGAAGCCCAACGCCCCTCTACTGCCAGAAACTTAGGTCGGCCTTCGGGCCTTTATTGAAGTTCCATTGGCCCGAATGAGCCCAAAAAAAAATATTCTCGTTGTCCCGCTATGATCTGAAGATTCAATACCGAAGATTCCCAAATTTGGGCTAGTATTTTGGGACGGAACGTTTCTTTTTATCTGCGCAAACATTCAACCGAGCTTGGCACCCAAAAGCAGTAAAGCTTCCTGGCTTCCAATTCCGTTGCCTTTGAGCTTGGCCAAAAAAACGCGCCAATCTCAAATGAAATGCTGTTGATGCCTTCTGCAGCATGGTTAACCGTCTTGAACCAAATCCTGGTCCTAATTGACCACACAATAATTACACCAAGAAACCCCAAACAGTGTGCGGGGTAGGAAGTCAATGTACCAGATACGAGCAACAGTAGCATGGAAGAGAAAGAGATGAGGTTACACATGATCGCAACTGCAGCAGCACAACCTTCCATGTAGGTCTATATAGAGGAGCCCATAAGATCTTCATATAAGAACTTCCTATAAGCATCGCCGAAAAACTTTCATACAAGCACTAACGAAGAGGGTCTTCAAGATCTTAATGCAAGAAACCTTGTAAGGAGGATATCAATAATCCGATCTCCACGAGAGCTTCTCACAAGGACCTGTACCAGATCATGCAGAAGCCTCGGGCAGCATGTCACGAGGATCTTCACAATATATCTTCGAACAAGGACTTGCAAGACAAAGACAGCGAGAGAGATATTCATCCCAGGACCCCTCAGAGAATCTCACAGGATGGCGGTAAAAAGACCTGCTGCTGGTGGAGCCGGTCTTCAAGTTTCTTGATACAAGGTCTTCCCAAGAGCCTCCCAGACAAGCTTTCAGACAAGCACCTCATGCAAGAACCTCTTAGAGAAGCTTTCGCCAGGATCTCCACAAGATCTTTTGTTAAGAACCTCTGCAAGGTCATGCAGGGACCTGTTGGAGAGGAATTTTGCAGGATGTCCACACGGGCCCTTCTGTGCAATAAGTTACAGTGAAAATGTTAGAGATCCAGAGCTTAAGAACCGCGCAGTGCAGATAATTTGCGCGAGTCTGCGCAATCAAAATGGCTAGACAGCTTAGAAGAGCAACTGCCCGTGAAAATTTACAGGAAAAATGCTGGGCCCCAAGATCGGCAAGCACAGTTTGTGCGAGTCTTCGCGCTCGACGCGTAGATGGACATAGCAGAAAAGCCCTTCTACCCAAGATCGCGACGCACAGTATGCGTTAATTCTTGTGGACGAAATGCGCATGGACATGTCAGAAGAACCATTCTTTGCAAGAATCTAGAGGCCACACAATGTGCGCGTTTCTACATACAGGAAACACATATGGACATGTCACAAGAGCCATTCTATGCGAGAACTAAAAGGTAAAATGCCGTTCCCCAGAAGCGAGGCGCGTATTTTTTGCGAGCCTACGCAATCCAAATGCACTTAGCCATCTCGCAGGTGGCAAATTTATACGAGGATTCAGAATTACCAGATAAAAGGCTGGAATCAGAGCGCGTTCCCCTGATCTCACACCGGCCTTAACCCGCAGTGTGGGGGAACAAGCCCTTCCCGTTTGGAAGACATATAAAATTCTATAGGTATATGATTATATAATGGTATGTAAAACAATTTGTTTATTAGGCTTGTGTATCCCACATGATATCTGACGAAGTTTTACTAATACCCCCGGAAACTCCCAAATAAGATGATAGTGACATCACCATGCAAACCATTTGGATGAAAGGCTCACTGAAGTGACGTTGGGGTGTGCTATCTTTTTTTATCTAAGTAAAGATACAGCAAGTGGTATTGTTTGGAATTCAGAAAGTGTCACATAACATAATGCTTCAGGTCCAATTTCATGACTCTGCAATGCGCAAAGATATCAAATGATGCCATCCAGTGAATCTAATAGAACTCATCTTAGACCCAGTACTGCGCGGGCTCTTTCCGGCTTAACTTCGACAGTCAGAAAAGATCCGGTGCGTTCAGCTGAATGCCATTCAAACAAAAAAATACAATCCTTGAAGGTACCTGCCGAGAACAGCTAGGACAATGTCCGTATTATTCATGTCATGTCCTCTGATCAATCTGACAATATACACTATCCCTGTCGTATTTATTCTCTGGAAACCGTGGATTTTGTGTCTGAATGGAGCTAGTACCTAGCATTATTTGATCCCAAGTCTCCGTCTCCTCTCCCAAAAAAATTCCTTCGCTGTGCAGTTCCTGGCAAATGTGGCACCAGCCACCCTGCTCGTCGTGCGAGCAATCGCTATAGAAGTGGCACCCTGCAATGAATCACCAGAAAAGGAAATTGAATTGCACACGCTGCGCTCACACCACACAAGGCTTTCTGGATCTTGCTACCTCGCTTGGGAACTCCTCACGGGATGTTACCGCAAAGAAAGAAAGTTGAATTACTTGACCTCATGCTGTTTGAACGAATAACTCAAGCTGGTAGGTTCTGCCCAAGGCACAATCTCCATTCCGAATGCAGAAATCTCGGGAAGGCCCGTGCAGCTCCGAGGAAAAAAGCAGCTCGTGCTTCACCCCTGTCATCTCAGTGATGTGGCGCCTTATACGCAGGAGCACATGCTGGTCAAAACGATTTCATCCCTAGTCTGATTGTGTTGGACAAAAGCAGATCTTGAAGCGTTTGGGATCGCCATTATCTTTCGAATAAATACCAATGACAGGAACATGAGCGAACAATGCCATGGCCATTGCCAGCTGAATTTGCCAAACTTGCCAACCTGCTGAAGTCAAGAAATGAAGAAAGACGAGGCACCAAATGTAAGCCAAGGACCCCAGTCCTTCGCAGCTGCCCCACACGCGCAGCCTCAGTTAGAAACCGGGACGCGGTGAAGGCACACAAAGCACTCAGCGGATCTTGGATCTCAAACTATGACATGGGAAATTAACCTCTGGAATGGGATCAATTTTATACCGTCGATCATGCATGATATCATTTCATTTATGTGTAAATGAACAATGGTCTTTGAAATTGACCATCAACAATCATTGGAACACAAGTTGCAATCCCGGGAAATCCCTTCTAATAGCAGGGGCAACCAAAAATTATTAACACACGCATATCCAAGTACATACATGCCAAACTACTTGCTTGGAATGATCCCCGCCCTGACATATTTTTCTGACAGCTGACAGAAATAGAAACATATCGTCTTGCCTTCTATCTGACAAAGACTTTGACATTTTATTTGGCTTTCTTGTTGACTTTCTCTGTGGCACAGAATCTGGCATTCTATCGGACATTATGCTTTCTTGATTTTATTCAGCAAAAGTTCATGGCATGACACCCCGCGACGGAGACAGCTATAGGTACAGGGCGGGACACTCCGGGGAAGGAGACTGCAATAGGCCCACGCCATGACACACTGGGACTGGAGCCGTCGAGAGCATGATGCTCTGGGACTGTAGGGAGGGGATAGGCCACAGAGATGACATATGAAATGGAGTGTAGGAAGGGGAAAGACCACAGAGATGACATATGAAATGGAGTGTAGGAAGGGGAAAGACCACAGAGATGACATATGAAATGGACTGTAGGAAGGGGATAGACCACAGAGATGACACGTGAAATGACAGGCGAAGAGAAGGAGGAGGAGGAGGGGGAAGAGGAAGCGGAACAGAAGGAAACAAGAGACAAAGTCACTGCAAAATCTAGAGACCCTTACCCGAGCTAGCGACGATGGCGATTGTTCTAGTCTATCTCTATGTCTTTGCACCTATGTGGATCAAAAATGAAATATGCTTGGTACGACCCAGAAAGAGCCACCTGGACTGATGAAGGCTGACAATTGAAACGTGAGTGTCAGGAGAGCAAGCCAGCAAATCATAACATTTCACATCGCATCAAACCATTTCAACTCCAAAAGAGTTCAATAGTGAACTTATAGCACCAGCCGTGCACAAGAAGTATGCAGCTTGACACCGGCACCGTCTCTTTTTCACTCTCGGCTCAGCCATGATTTCTTTTTTTTTGACAGACGCATCACATCGTTACTTTTCAGGTCTCCCAGTGGCCGTTGCTCCAGATTCTCGGTCTTTTGGCACACATATCTCCTGAGTCACTGTGGTCCATCGGCCGTCTTCGTGGCCAGTGCGAATGGCCCGCAGAAGCTCCTGTCGTCACATCTGTACTTGTCGTTCTTCTGCGAACTGACCATGTGTGACGGTAATGCCAACCGTTCTCGTCGTCACCATCTCGACCTCCCTCATCATCAATCTGGACCTCCTCATTCTCTGACCCTTCATCTCTCCATGACGATGACGCTGAAGCTGACCACGAAAGAAGCCACGCGACCAACCGGCAAGGGGCGTTCAACTCCACTTGGTCCAAGATCCACAGAAACTGGCTCTGCGACTGGTGGCGCTGGTGGCTCGGAAACTGACATCGCTGGACGAACTGGTGGTCGGAATTGTGCTGGTACAGGCACTGGTCCTGAAACTGGCATTGGTGGACGAACTGATGGAGGGAGCGATGGTGGCGGAAAGGGCACTGGCACTGCTGGACGAAGTGGTGGAGGGAGTGGGTCTGCTGGCATCGCTTGGCTAACTGGCGGAGGGAGTGGCGCTGCTGTTGAAAACACTGGTCCTGCTGCAGGTGCTGAAACTGGCATCACTGGACGAACTGGAAGAGATAGTGGCCTCTGGAAAAGATAGTGCGCCTCTGATGTTGCAGACACTGACGGCGGTGGTGGTGGCATCACTTCTGGAGGAGGACGCACTGGCAAAATCTGCAGAGTGGCGGTGATGGTTGCAGGCATGGGCTGAACAAGAATGATTGACAACACATGATCACTAGCTATCCTTCAGTAGAGCAAACCGGTAAAACCCCAAAAAAGTGAGGACATCATATCCTGTCACGGCATGTCATATCATGTCATCGAACGTTTGTTTGCCTGTCCCTGGTGTCCGAATTCCACTCGTAGAATCGTAAACCATGCGACAAGAGAAGCTTGAGTGCCACGGATGGAAACCATGAAATGTTGATAATTATACCGATGATATACCCATCAATCTATCTCACTGCATAGTCCCACCGATCAACTGAACACCGTCTCTGCCCCTCCAACCTGATTGACAGAGAGGGGGCGGTAGATAGTGTGCCCAGTTGTTGTGTTCTTATATGGAACCCACACCGGCTTCCACACCCCATCTAGATCAACTTCTAGATGTCCACTTTCGAACCGGCCGATGACACCAGCTTCGTCCCGCAACATGGCTGAACTGGTCACACAAGTGCAGGTCTGTATGTGTCCAATTTGTTTTATTGAAGGTGCTACGCATCTATCATGTCTGAAAGAACAGCAACTGAGTCAAAATGACATGGTGCGAAACTCTTCACACTTTAGGTTGCTGAACTATTAGCCAATGTTTCTCGTGCATCTTTCCCAGGCCTTGTCATGGCTATATCCCCGCTGCAGCCACTAAAACAACAGGTCATGAAATCAACCCGCTCGAGAGCATGTCAGAACCATGACGACTGCTAGGCTGGACCACCTTGTAACCATACCTGACAATCTCCGGACCCATTTCGCCAACAGCCCGGAACCCCTGTGCACCTCATAACAAATGCCAAGGCACGGACGCTGGCCAGCCGGCAAGGTCTCTTTGTCAAAACCGGCCTTCTCCAAATACCTGTGCTGCCGATAGCTTGGCTGGAAAAAATGTTTATCTGGGAAGATTTCGAAATCATGAGGAAGATGTGAATCGAGAAGCTAGCCATCAAACTACCAGCTATCAGTCTATCTATATAACAGGCAAGCTTGCAAACGAGTGGCTTCTGACACCACATCTTTGGAAAAACGGTAGGAAGCTCGGGCACCTTCTGTCCTTACAGAAATGAGTGGGTGCCACTGGGAGCACAATGTCTGAGCGCAGCTGGCCCGGAAAAAAACACTTGACACTGGTTACATCCAGTTATGGCCCTTTAACAACTACAAAAAGGTGAGAAGTCCATTTATGGAATGACATCCCCGATTCTTACGATTTACAACTTGTAATGCGGATAAAGGGCGCAAAGGCTTTGCCTGCTCTATCGCCAGTCAAAGCCATCCTTCAGTCACTACTGTGCATCCCAACCAAGGACCCACAGAGCCAAGCTTCGTTTGCGGCATGGAGACTTGGCAACATCGAGCAAGTCCTGAGGCAACACATGTCTGTCAAGTGACTTTCTGATCCAAAATTCCGAGTTCCAGGTTAGGCGCCTTTCAGATCCCGGGGCCCGACGGAAACCACATACCCAGAAATTGAAACCCAACAGTCGCTGCTCTTGAACATGTTCAAACGAGACACCTGCCAAAAGAAGTTGTCGCCCATGGGGCCACGGATGGTCACCAACCGAGAGGCTGGTGCTGAGCCAAGCTGACGCAATCAACTGGCCACCATCATCTGAATGCATGTGATATATCACGGGACATTTTCGCTGACGCGCAAAGATGAGGTTTGATTATATACCGGGGGTGTGCAAAGGAAAACGTGGCATTATTCGTTGTATCCAGTTGTCATCTGACCTATCACGCACCCTTGGTTGTCACTCGGAATCCAAAACTGAGGTGATTCATGCAGGGACAAATCAAGAACAAACTGTTGTTCGGATTCCGGGTGTGGATACAACACAGGTCAGGCTCTTCATGCGCTCTGCCGCTGCTCCACTCACAATGGAAACACCCGCTGTGCAAAACGCTCAATGAAAGAACCAACCTTAAATGCCCTCCAATTGGATTTCAACAATCATGTACAATATTCCTACGCCCAATGGGTTCCTAAGATGATGAAATATGGTGGGTCAACATGGATCAGATTAAGCGTGATTAACCTTACCTAGTTCATCTGAAGGGGAAAATGGTTATAGCCAATATCAGTCGATGTCTGGTACCTTCACAAGTCCAATCAAATCCAATCATTAAACCATGTTCATGCACAACAAATAAGGCACAACAACAAAAAATTACGTGATCTCCAACGTTGTTTACAACATAGTTCCTACACAGTTCCTAACTCAGACGTATGGAAACCACAGAAACCCAAAATAAAGAGGCTAACTTTTGAATTAATTGATGCGTTCTTACTTTCAATATAATCACATAAAATGTTATTAACACATTCTAAGTTGTTTGAAAAATACGAAGCACCATTTACAGTTAATACATTACTTCCATTTTTAGCACCATTAACAGCGATAGTTCCCGCTACTTGTTGGTCTGTTTCTCCTGTCAGTTTTAAGCAGTTTGAAGTGTCCCCTGATAAATCTAAATTGGTAGGTTTGTTAAATTCAACAATCCCGTTTTTCAATGTCATTGTTAAATTGGTTGTTGTATCGGGGACTATTGGACTACCTACATAGAATTTAATTTCTCCGGTGCTTTCGTTCATAATATGGTTTATGATTGTTAATGCATTTTTACTTTCAAAATTATCACACACAATAAAAATTTCACATTGAGTTTTAGTTTTCAATACCGTCAGATTATCTTGAAGTTCAATCATACTGACATTGTTTCTTCTTATGATTAAATCCAATGGTGCTATGGTGTCTATTTCTTGGGTTTTAAGATTGCCCGAGCATTGGATGATTTTACTTGCTACGATTTTACTTTCAGAAACGTCATATTGTATATAAGTATCGCTGTTGCTTTGAAAAAGTATATCATTGGTATTAAGTGCATTAAATGTATTTGACTGAATATTAGAACCTTTGATATAACCGCTACTGTCCAACGATGCTACTAAAAGATTACCGCTTATCTCACTATCTCCATTAACATAAAAGTCTTTGCTTGATGCTACACCATTCAAAATGATTTTTGATAGACCGTCAATATGACCCAGCCTCAAAGTTCCGGACATATCCTGTGGGTTGTTGATATTCAGTTTGTCATCCAGTAATGTATCCGTCTCTGATTTACTATATTTACCAGTAGTACCGCACAAGGCGGTGGCGGAAGTTTCAAAAATAGGAAACCTATAGGAGACATTGGCTGTTGTGAATCAGGGATGGCAGAGCGAATCCACTGATGGACCGAAAGGTGCTTGAGGTCTCCTCTCTTTCTCTCTTTTTCTCTGACTATCTACTTACCTACCAGCCTATCTTCTATGTATCTATCTATCTATCGATCTATCTATCTCTCTCTTTCTCTCTTTCATCGAATTACCTATCTACCTATCTACCTCTCTACCTGTCTACCTATCTACCTATCTACCTATCTACCAATCTACCAATCTACCAATCTACCAATCTACCTATCTACCTATCTACCTATCTATCTATCTATCTCTCTCTCTCTCTCTCTTTCATCTGTCTATCTGTCTAGCTGTCTACCTGTCTGTCTATCTATCTGTCTATCTGTCTACCTGTCTATCTGTGGTGCAGTGTCATTCGGTGTAATGTAGTGTAGTGTAATGTAGTGTAGTGGACTGGAGTGTAGTGGAATGTAGTGTAGTGTAGTGTAATGTAGTGTAGTGTAATTTCGTGTAGTGGAGTGTAGTTGTGTAGTCGTAGTTGTACTTGTAGTGTAGTGGAGTGTAGTGTAGTGTAATGTAGTGGAGTGTAGTGGAAGGTAGTGTAGTGTAATGTAGTGTAGTGTAGTGTAGTATAATGTAGTGTAGTGTAGTGTAATGTAGTGTAGTGGAGCGTAATGGAGTGTATTGTAGTGGAGTGTAGTTGTGTAGTTGTGTAGTTGTGTAGTTGTAGTTGTAGTTGTAGTGTAGTGGAGTGTAGTGTAATGTAGTGAAGTGTAGTGGAAGGTAGTGCAATGTAGTGTAATGTATTGTAGTGTAGTGGAGTGTAGTGTAGTGTAATGTAGTGTAGTGTAATTTAGTGTAGTGGAGTGTAGTGGAGTGTAGTTGTGTAGCTGTAGTTGTAGTGTTGTGGAGTGTAGTGTAGTGTAGTGGAGTGTAGTGTAGATTAATGTAGTGTAGTGTAGTGAAGCGAAGCAAGCGACATCTGAACCTGCAAAAGTGGTCCGAACTCCTGGTGTTTTTAACATGTTGACTTCGAAATGTGCTTTGCGCCACAACGGCGTGCACTTTTTCGACATCTCAACTTCCAAAGTGCTCCGAGACCCAGGTGTTTTGTACATGTTCACTTCGAAATGTGCTTCGCGCCACAACGGCGTGCACTTTTTCGACCTCTCAACTTCCAAAAGTGGTCCGAGCATGGTGTGTTTTGTACATTTTGACTTGGAAATGTGCTTCGCGCCACAACGGCGTGCACTTTTTCGACATCTCAACTTCCAAAAGTGGTCCGAACCTGGTTTGTTTTGTACATTTTGACTTGGAAATGTGCTTCGCGCCACAACTGCGTGCACTGTTTCGACATCTCAACTTCCAAAAGTCGTCCGACGCTGAGGTGTTTTGTACATTTTGACTTGAAATGTGCTTCGCGCCACAACGGCGTGCAATTTTTCATCTCTCATCTGGCCAGCTGGCTCCGCACCCGCCGCTTTAGCGAGCCTACTTTCGACCCTCCGGAGCCCCAAATCATTGGAAAAACACAGTGTTTCGCGACTTTCCTACCTTTTCGCGCATCTGCATCTTCTTTCTTCTGACTCTTTCTCTTCTACTCTTCTCTCTTCTGATCTTTCTCTTCTCTCTGCCTCTGCCCTGCTCTGCTTTTCATCTGTCCATATTGTCGGAAGTTTGACTTCTAAACTTCCTTCGATTATTTAACAATGTATCTGTCTCAGTTTTGTTGTAATAATTGGTTAAGTCAGTCGTGCCTGTTCCTCCTCCTCCATTGATGATTGCTGTATTTACATACTGCTCTGTTGCTAAATTTGATGTTCCTGTAATTTCTAACTTGATAAACTCTGTTGCTCATACATACATACATACATACATACATACATACATTACAATACATACATACATACATTACAATACATACATACATTACAATACATACATTACATTACATTACATGACATGACATGACATTACATTACATACATACATACATTACATGACATGACATTACACTACATAAAATTACATACATAAATACATACATACATTACATTACATGACATGACATTACATAAAATTACATACATAAATACATACATACAGACATACATACATACATACATACGTACATACAATACATACATACATACATACAATACAATACAATACAACACAATACAATACAATACATACATACATTACATTACATTACATTACTTTACATTACATTACATTACATTACATACATACATACATACATACATACATACATACATACATACACACACATATACACAGACATACACACATATACATATATGTATGTATATATATATGTTTATATACATATACATATATATATGTATGTATGTATATATATACATATGTGAACATGTATATATATATATTTGTAATATGTGTCTTGTCATATCTCCCCATTAGTATCATATTTGGGATTCAACCCCAAAAGTATCTCCCAAGTATTGTCAGCTTCGGCGAGGTCAGCTGAATCAAACCACACTTAAAAAAACAGCTTCTATCTCTACCTCTACCTATCTATTGATGATCAATAGATCATCTAATAGATATATCTGAGTTAGAAATCTAATCTAATCTAATCTAATCTATATATTCTAATCCTAACCATAGATTCCACAAACATACGCCTTTTTTGAAGGTCGCATCCCTCACCTTTCTGTGGATCGTAGAAGCGCAGCAGCAAGTTGAAGAGCGTGGACTTGCCGCAGCCCGAAGGCCCCACGAGGCCCACCATGGATCCACAGGGGATGTTGAAGGTCACCTCCTAGCGGAGATGTAGATCTGCTATCTAAATAAAAGCATTAATACACATCTATATATGTGTATATACATACATACATACATACATATATATATATATATACATATATATATCTGTATATCTGTATAGCTGTATATGTATATGTGTATACATTCATATACATTTGAAAACGGTTGTAAACGTATTTGTAGACATATCTTGAATGCGACTGGGCTCAATGGACCATTGGTTCATGAGTTTCCCGATGAATGGCCATGGGTTTACTAACCATTTTTCAAAGCCATATCAGATGGTTGTTTAAGCTTCCCGTTGAATCCCCATTTGTTATCCCCATTTCGAGGTCGGAAAACCACAGCCTTCAGCGCAGCAGAATCCAAGTCATCGGAATAGGTGAAGCAAACGCCTTTGGCCTCAATGCTTCCAATGATCTTGTCCACTGAGGGGTTGAACATACCTGCGACTCGCGACAGATGGCGACAAAACCCAGTAGCCTCTCAATTTACGTTCATCTCGAATATGGCAAAAGTGCAATGATTAGGAGTAGAAATTGCCGAGGAAAATGGTTTTAAACACCCACAGGATTCTCCCGTTCCAAAGCCCAACAGTTTTGATGGAGGTTATTGTAAGGGTCCGGAATTGTTTTGGGAATTATTCATTTTCCGTTTTGGGATTTTTGGGATCTGCTGTTCTGTCCGTTTTCCCTGCAATTTTGGCGCTGGAAGCCGCCATTTCAACGGTATTGCAACATTTTGGAGTTCGAACCTCTCATCTTCCATGGTATTTGCAACATTTGGGTTTTGGTTTTACTTAGGGTTTATTTAGGGTACAATGCGTTTCAGAGTTTGGGTTTGTTTGGGTTAAGTTTCAGATTTGAGATTTTTGAAGGGTTTACTTAAAGTTGTTTTAGTTTTTTTGGCGGTTGGTGTGGGGTTTATTGACGGTGTATTTATATTGTGCATCTTGCGGTTTATTTAGGCTTGAGAAACAAAAAAGCAGAAAACAGCGGAGACGCAGAACAGTGGAGAAGCAGAGAAGCAAAGAAGCAGAAAAGCAAAGAAGCAGGGAAAGGAAGAAAAGCAGAAAAGCAAAAAGCAGAGAAGCAGAACAGCGGAGAAGCATAGAAGCAAAGAAGCATAAAAGCAGAATCAAGGGAAAAATAGAAAAGCAGAAACGCAAAAAGCAGAGAAGCAGAAAAAGCAAAGAAGCAGGGAAACAGAAATCCCAAAAAAAATGCCCAAAACGGAAAAACACAATTCCTCCCAAAAGTAGCCCTCCTTATTATACACCCGGACTGCGACATCTGGTGACCCAAAACCACATGGCAGATGTTGGTGAGCCAAGCCGCCAAGCCAAGACCGTGTGGTGGTCTGGGGCCCGAAACATCACGGAGCTCTCTACAGAGGTTATAGGATTACATAACCCCAAAATCAACCAGTTTTATGGGCTTTTCAAGTTCCTTTCTTGGAGTGTGTTCTTTTTGGGTAGCCTGAAAAACTTCCATGAACTCAACAGATGATAGCTCCTGGGGTAGCTCCTTAATCCATTCAGGTGATATTCAAATATAACATCCTATACTCGAACTCTGCTTGACCTTCAACTCATCTATGAACAAAGCTGTCACTGCAACTGGTTCCTCTGGGTCAATTCGCTGGGCTCAGTGAAGTTCAATGTTCAATGGGGACATGTCCCAGCTGGACCTATAGTCCAGCTGAAACAGGCTTAAACAAGTCTTGATTTATAGGGAAAATGATGATAAATCCATAACAACCTTCTAGAAATCCAATAGTCTAATGAAATATCAAGCATGATCAAGCATGTGTAAATACAACAATTTTTACAACATTTATCAATGTCTTTCCGAAAGGTTTGATTTCCCTATCCAATTTGAGCGGCTTTAAATCCATCCGAAATCTTTTCTAGATGAAACTGATGAAATCACAATTTTTGCTCGTTCAGTTTCACTTCTTGGTTTTACACCAAAACTCCCATAATATCTCATTATATCACCATTATAGTCACACTAAAACACTATTAAATCAACTCATGTCCCAGCCATTAGTCATTTTCCATGAAAAACCCAAGAGACTCCATTCATCCATTAGTCCCTATTAATCATCATTAACCCCTATTTTCTTTGAAACCACAAGCCACGTGCTCTCGGGATTATAATCCCATTAATTACGATTCCAATTAGTACGGCTCGGTTTTTAATGGAACATCATGGGATACTATATAATCCCATTATATATCCCATTCTCGTGCATTAATGGAAAAATAGAAACATAGATCAGGTACCCGAATAGTTTAACAGTTGAATCTGAATTTCCCAGTAAAACACCATGATCTCCCAGTAAAATCACCGTGAAATTGCCGAGATACTCTCGTCCGCGAAGGGAATCTCGGGTGGCCGCTCCAAAGCTTCCAGTACCGCAGCCTCGGATGGCAGCTGTGATCCTGTGATATTCGCGGAGTTTCACTGTAAAACTTGGGAATTTCTAATTGGAATTTGGACATTTCCTGGACATGTGGGGTTGGATTTCACTCACAGAACTTTGGGGTTTAAGACGATTTAAGCAGCGAGGATGGAGAAGGGTACCATTGACCTATTGGTTGTTTCACTGCTCAATGTGTACCCGACACCTTCATAACTGGAAAAGTATTGGAAATCCAATCTGACCATGGCGAAGGGTGGACATGGCCCGGGTTCCGACA